GCATTTCCAGAGCTGAACTCGGGTCCTCCTAAGAAGCAGTGACAGCTGGCGCGGTGGCACACGCCTGGAGTCCCAGAGGCTTGGGAGGCTGAGGCAGGAGGATCCTGAATTCAAATCCAGCCTCAGCAATTTAGCGTGACCCTCTCTCAAAATAAAAAATAGAAAGGGCTGGGATGTGGCTCAGGGGTAGGTCACCCTGGGTTCAGTCCCCAAGACCAAACAAACAAACAAAAAAGAACCCTAACGCTTGTCTCCACTCCTGATGGGCTGGGCTTGCTGACTGGCTGTGGTGATCTCGGCAGAAGCATTTTGTGTACATAAGGTTAAGCCCCGATTTTGACAAGATGAAGTTCGCAGGCTGAAGTGCGTGGGGCTGTGCCTTCAGGGGGAGCCCAGAGTAGGAAACCCCTGGAAGTTCCTGCGACTGCGCCAACATGCCCCTACAGACCAGGCAGCTAGAGCAACAGAAATGGAGTGTCTCCTGGTTCTGGAGACCAGAGAGGCCAAGATCAAAGTGTCGGCAGGGCTGGCTCCTCCTAGAGCTTGGAGGGAGGGTCTATTCCGGGCCTCCGTCGTGGGCTGGGTGGCTGCGGGCGTCCTTGGTTTGCAGGTACGAACCCCAATGCCTGCCTTCCGCATTGTACACCTCTAGGTCCAACCTCCCCCCTTTTTAGTTTGCAGTACTGGGGGGTTTGAACCAGGGCTTCACACAGGCTAGGCAAGGGCTCTACCACCAAGCTGCATCCCCAGCCCTTTTTATTTTTTATTTTGGCACAGGGTCTCACTAAACTGTTCAATCTGGCCTCAAGCTTGTAATCCTCCTGCCTCAGCCTCCTGAGTAGCGGGGATATGGGCATGTGTCACCATGCCCAGCCCAAACCCCTCCTATTACAAGGACACTAGTCATTGGATTAGAACCCACTTTAATCAAATGTTACTTCAACTTCAGTTGATCACGTCTGCAGAATCTAGTTCCAAATAAGGTCATGTTCAGGAGTCAGGATTTGAACCTCTCTCTTGGAGGGACACAATTCAACTTCGACTTTCTGAACCCAGGGCCAGGAGTCCAGAATAGCAGCCGTGGTTGTGGGGATGCATGAGTCTCTTACTGGGGCTTCAGTGGCAGGAGAAGACCACGGGAGGTCAGCATTACAGGCTGGAGACAGGAGGGGCCCAGAGGGGGCTCAGAGGTGGGACATCGCCCAGCTTGTGGGAGGCCCTGGGCTCCATCCCCAGCCTCACCACAAGGGGAAAAAAGATGTGTATCTTATCCTGACCACTGGAGGCGTGTTCCGCTGAGGATTCTAGAATAAAGATGATCCTTGCTTTATAATGACTTAACTTGCAATTTTTCCACTGTACAGTGGTGACAAAGCAATAGTGGGCCAGGCCCAGTGGCGCACGCCTGTAATCCCAGCAACCGGGGAGGCTGAGGCAGGAGGATCATGAGTTCAAAACCAGCCTCAGCAACTCAGTGAGACCCTGTCTCTAAATAAAATATAAAATGGAGCTGGGGATGTGGCTCAGTGGTCAAGGGGCCCTGAGTCCAATCCCTGGTACCTGCCACTCCCCAAAAGAAGCAATAGCGTTCGTGCATTATGGACTCCTGGGCTCAAAGGATCCTCCTGCCTCAGCCTCCTGAGCAGCTGCCCCTACAGGGGCACACCACTGCCACTGTGTCTGGCATACTAGAAAGTTTTAAATAGCATCTGTGACTCGAGTTGTATTTCTACTATATAGCAAAGCTCTGGAAGTTCTGCACAGATTCTAGATCATTCCGTAGCCCAGAGAGGCAGCAGTGAGATGCCCCTTCTTCGGGAGGGAGGGCGGCTGGGTTTAGAACACTGTGGTGATGGTGTGCGACACTCAGGGGCACTCAACCACTGAGCCACATTCCCAGCCTATTTTCCCTATTTTGTATATTATTTAGAGTCAGGGTCTCACTGAGTTGCTTCGGGCTTTGCTGTTGCTGAGGCTGGCTTTGAACTCGAGATCCTCCTGCCTCGGCCTCCTGAACTGCTGGGATTACAGGCATGGGCCACTGCACCCAGCCATCTTTGTACTTTAATTAAGCATGACTGTGCCTCTCTTAGCTGAAAAGTATACAGCTGTGTATGGAAAGATATTCATATTAGCATGTTTTCACTTCTAGGTAACCAGCTTAAGCAGATGGACTGTGATTTGCCAGGCTTCTTTTAAAATCCTCCATTTGACAAATGAAAAACTTCTAGTAACAATGTTGAATTAATGAAAACCTGGAGAACGGGGTGTGGCCCCGGGGGGCCAAGTGCTTGCCTGGCCAGAGGCGTTGGGTTCCATCCCCAGCGCTGCAAAAAACAAACACCATCTGGGAGCATGAAAAGTAAGAAAATCAGCATCTTGAAGACCAAAAGCAACATCCGCTAACCTGAGCGTGAGATAATAGTCATTTAACAGAAAAAAAAAAAAAGACCTGACGCCTCACTGTGTCCTTATAATTCATGTAGCGACCTGCAGTGGAGCCTCTTCCTAGGCCTCTGCCTGTGTGCACACAGCCACAGGGATGCGAGCACATGCAAAAGTCCGGCCCAGAAGGAACTCAGCAGTAGGGCGTGGTGGCTGTGCAGGAGCCCAGCACCCAAACCCAAACTAAACTAAATGGAGCTGAGCAAACCTACTCTGTCTGCCCAGCACAGTGGCCCACGCCTGTAATCCCACGGTTCAGGAGGCTGAGGCAGGAGGATCAGGAGTTCCACACCAGCCTCCTAATTTAGCAAGGCCCTAAGCACCTTCGTGAGACCCTGTCTGTAAATAAAAAATAAAAAGGGCTGGGGATGGGGCTCCATGGTTAAGTGCCTCTGGGTTCTACCAAAACAAAGAAAGAAATCCCTACTCCTGCAGATTTTCAACTGTGGAAATGCACAGGAGCAACATGGAGCGCCTGGAACGGTTCTTCCTACTCAAACTTTGCTTCCTTCTACCATCATTCCCCCAATTCCTCCATCCCCCTGCCTCTGGTCACCAGCTGTTCCACCCCAGGACTGCAACAGCCCTAACACTGCAGCATATTGCTTTCTGATCTCAAAGAAAGAACCTGGAGGACTCCATGGGGAGGTTTTGGACATGTCACTACTTACTCCTGAGGGCGGGGGCTGGGACTGGGACACAGTGGAGGGCCACCTCGAGCCCACTTACAGCCAAGGTCCTCTCCCAAGGACTGGAGGTAAGGACAGTGGCCATCTTCCCTCCCAGCTCCCCATCCCCACGTTCTTTGGAGACCTCCTTATCCAGCAGCAGGCTCTCCAGGACCCGACTGGCTTTTAACCCAACAGCACCACTCCGCTCTCTTCTCCTGCGACTTGCACATGCGAAGGAGCCAGGCCCTGCTTGTCTGTCTGTGCCTGCCTTCTTCACTCACCACAGTGTCTCCTCTGCATTTTAAAGTCCACACCCTTCACTACATTTTCAAAATCTCTTTTGCTAGATGACCAAGGATTTCCCGTATCCAGGGATCCTGAACACCTGGGGGAGCCCTCTGCCTACTATAGACTTTGCCCAGGCACCCAAACATCTTCGTTATGAATTCAGTGACATTTTTCTACTGTCATCGAGTTGACCTGAAAATTACATTTTCAGCAAACTCATAAAGGGCTCTAATGATTTACAGTGTCATGAAAATCATAAAGTGAAATGCTCTTGAAAAAAATCTAAGCGTGGCATGGTGGCACAGATCTGTCATTCTAGTGATTCAGGAGACTGCACAGAGGGAACTTCCCCCCTTCAAGGGCAGCCTCCCCAACTTAGGAAGATCCTGAGCAATTTAGCAAGATCCGGTATCAAAGCGTAAATAAATAAAGGTCTGGGGGATGCAGTTCAGTAGTAAGCAACCTGGGGTTCTATCTCCAGTAGGAAAGAAAGAGAAAAAAGAAAAGGAAGAAACCTATTACGCTGCACGCTTTAAATTGTTTAAGATGGTACTTTTTTTTTATAACTTTATTTTTATGTGGTGCTGAGGATTGAACCCAGGGCCTTGCACATGTAAGGCGAGCGCTCTACCGCTGAGCCTTGAAGAGGATACTAAGGCTTAGTCAATTAAGACATACTGATGCATAGGTACCTAAAACAAATTGGTGTCCCAAACCTACTTACTTAATAAAATAATAAAGGTGCCTGTCATCCCAGCGTCTCCGGAAGTTGAGGCAGGAGGATCACAAGTTCAAAGTCAGCCTCAGCAAATTTAGCAAGGTCCTAAGCAACTCAGTGAGACCCTGTCTCAAAAAAAAAAGGGGGGGGGGGGCTGGGGATGTGGCTCAGTGGTTAAGAGCCCTTGAGTTCAATCCTCCTTACCAAAAAAAAAAGGAAAATAAAATAGAAAAATGAAAATAGGGGAGGTAGAGTCAGTAATCCAGGGGAAAAGGCCAGTAGGAACGAAAGAGGAAAATTTTGAACCGCCCGCAGTTACACTTTAGCCAAATTTGATTCCTGATGTCTCTCGGCCTCAGCTTCCCCCCTGCACCGCTGAGGGCCTGGTTTCTCTTCTCCCAGGGGCACGTGGGCAGCACGCGCCGAGGATGAGGATGAGGATGAGGATGAGGATGAGAGCTCCAGCCCAGCCCAGGGGGCGTTACTTTCTATGCCCCTCTCTCTCCTGTGCCCTAGCGTCGCGAGTGGGACGAAGATTTCTGGACTAGGAAAGCGCTTTCAAAGCTAAAACTTGTTGCCAATTCACAGTCTCTCGTACTACCTGGGTCATCTCCCCATATGGACCACGGGCGCGCCCTGGCGGCCGGGCAACTCCTGGCTGACGCCGTCAGACCACGTGTGAAATTGAGGCCACCATCTTTCATCCGGGCAGCGGCCATCTTGGTAAAGGTAATGTTCTAGATTATACCTTCTGTCCACCATTCTGGCTCTCCAATATATGAAGTGAGAACAAATAATGAAGATTCACGAAATATCCTCGTTTTATAAAGAAGAAATGGCTGATGACTTAGAGTCGGGCCGAGGCCCGGCCAGAATTTCCTTTACCAAGATGGCCGCGGCATGGTTACGTAATAAGAGCGCGCCACCGGAAAGTCAACGCGCAGGCTCTGTAGTGACGTCACGGAGGCGCGACCGGGCCGGCGCTGGAGGAAGGAGGTAGGAGCAGCGGCGGTGCGGGCGGAGCCCGTGTGTAAGGGGGCCGACGGGCCCTGCGGGGATTGCTCGGCGCGGGTCTGCCCGCTGGAAGGCTGGAGGTGGGGTGCTCGGGGACGGGAGCACCTCTGGTGCCCAGTCTTGACAGCTCCCGCGGTGGGGCTGTGCCCATTTCTCAGACCCAGGGACTGAAACCCAGAGGGCATCGTGTTGGAGGCCACCCAGCCCCACGGTGCACTGAGCAGCTTGCACCCGGAGGAGGACCGAGCAGGATGCGGACATTCTCTGGCTGCGGCGTTAGGGGTTGGGCTGGGGTGGCCCGGGGGATACAATTGGGAGGGCTTCTTGGAGGAGGCAGCGTTGAGCTTTATCCTCTGTTTGATTCACCTGCGATCAGTCACTTGGGTCTCAGTTCCCACCCCCTGCACCCCACCCGTGCGGGTCCTCAAGTCCACCGCCTCACCCACCCCGAGGGCTCTGTCCCACAGGTGCCGCTGGAAGGCCCGCCACACCTTCCTGTCATCCTGGAATGGGAGTCCCCGGTTCCCGAGCTGTCTCCCGCACACCTCCGCAGGCTGGGTTCCCTCTCTTCATTTTTTTCTTTTTTTTAATATTTTTAGTTGTAGACGGACACAATACCTTTATTTTATTTATTTTTACGTGGTGCTGAGGATCGAACCAGGGCCTCGCACATGCTAGGCAGGTGCTCTGCCTCTCAGCCCCAGCCCATTTTGTACCTTTTCTAAGGGGCCATCAACCCAGGCAGGGTCAGAGAGCCCCCTCCCAGTGCCCTGAGTGTCCTCACAGCTCTGATTGTGTCTGAGGGGGCGTGGTGCTGGGGATTGAAGCCAGGGCCTGTGCATCAGTGCTCTGCCACTGAGCTGCAGGTCCAGCCTGGCCGGTTGCATCTTGTAACTCCTGTCACTCATCTATCTTCCCGTCAGTCTGGGGAGTCCTGTGCACCCAGGCAGCTCACGGCCACTTCTTTCCATACACCCCACACCCACTAGTTACTGTGTGTGTTTGTTGAGTGACATGCAGAAAAGAAAGGGTGTCTGTGTTAGCTTGGCCAGCTGAGCCTGACCGTTTAAACAACAAATAGGTTTTCTCTGACATGGAGGGTGGGATTCCTGCTCATTCAGTTCTGATAAGGCGTCTTTCTGCTGTGCTGCTGGCCATCTGCTCACTCCAGCCTGGTGGGAAAGAGGGACACTTATCAGGTGATCATCTAAATGAATCTAAAATAGCAACCTAGGTACATGTCTCCAAGAGAGGTTTGTGTCCTGAAAGAATCGGAGGAGGTCTCAGGGAAGGCTTCCTGCAGGTGGGAACTCCTGAGTCTGGCCCTGAAGTTTAAATAGGCGTTTACTACATAAAAAGAGGGGCAAAGAGTACCAGGTGGAGGGCATAGCAAGTGCAAAGGCCCTGAGGTGGAAACCTGCTTGAGGATTTGAAGAACGGCAAAGAGGCCTCTCAGTGAGGGAAGGGGAGAAGCAAGGAGGTGGGTGGGAAAGGCAGCAAACAGGGGCTCAGGGAGAGCCTTGGTTCCTCGTCTGCATATGAGCAGTGACCCCACCTGCCATGGTCTCCTGGGGCTTCCAGGATGGGTTTTCTGCGGGGTGTTCTGTAAGCACTCAGGGGTCTGAGGAAGGGCTGGGAGAAGTGGGGCTTCAGGGACCTCAGCTAGTCACACAGCCAGCTCTTGTGCCCGACACTCCTTGGTGCAACTCATGTCCCCACTCTGCCCTGCTCCGCCCAGCCTCAGGGTTGAGGGGCCCCAGTGACCCCAGCATCTTGACCTGCACTGATGTTTCTTGGGGGGCAGCTGGGGGACCCTGGAGCATGACAGTGGTTAGGGACACAGGACTGAGGGGCTGGGAAGGGATAGGATCCTGGCTTTCCGCTGCCAGCTCTGGGATCTCCGAGTATGTCACTGACACTGTCAAAGCCTCGTCTGTGAACCCCCCAGGCTCAGCCAGGGTCGCAGTGGTTTAGAATGTGCCCGGCGTGACCTGCGCTCACCTCCCAGTTATAATCACCGCCTGGCTCCAAGGGGTTCAGGCTTAGCCCTGCCCACGACACCATGGTGCGGCCCACCCCAGCCACCCCAGCCTTGCCTGCCTCGGCCCAGGACCCCTCGCCTTGTCGACTCTGCCCTCCCTCTTGCCCTACCCCCTGCTCCCCACTGGGCCTGCAGTGGCCTCTGCAGTGGCCTGTAAGGCGCAGCCCTTTCCTGCCAACGGGCCTTTACACGTCCTTGTCTCTGTCCAGAACCTCCCCTCGGTGGCTGCTGCGCACAGGCTGGTGTCAGGGTTTCTGGAGGGGTGGGGGCTCGGTACTCCAGGGCCCTGAGTCCCTGCAGCATGCCTTCCTGTCATCTGAGAAGCTGGCTTTGGAAGTGACACTTCATGTAGAGCCCTGTGTGACCTGGCGGGGACCTGGGCGTCCCCACCTTTGAGTGGGGCTAATGACAGCTCCAGGTTTCCTGTTTGGGGAGCACCCTGTGGAGCTGGGCCGCGTAAGGTGCTCCACTAAGGAACGGGGGCACCTGCTGTGGTATGTGAGGCCCCCAGCATCCACTGTGGGAGTCATTGGCTCTAAGATTGAGTCCTGCTAGTGGCAGAGTGGGAGGGGACACTGGGGCCCACTGTAGAATGACTCAGAAGGGCCAAAAAGCTGAAACTACGCAGATGTCCAGCGGATGCCTGTTGGCAGACGAGTGGATAAACAAAGTGGGGCACGTCAGCAGGGCGCGGTGGAACGCAGGGTGATCCAGCTACTTGGGGCTGAGGCAGAAGGTCGTGAATTCAAGGCCAGTGTCAGCAACCTAAGTCTGGGAGCGTGGCTCAGTGGTACAGCACCCCTGGGTTCAATCCCTGGTACCCCGAAAAGTGGCTTGCCCGTCAGTGGAATATTATGCAGCCATGAAAGGAATGAAGAAGCATTGACGGGCTCCAAGACACGGAGAAGGAGCCTGGAGAACATGAGGCTGAGGGGCAGAAGCCATGCGCAAAGGGACATAGAACATGTGGTTCCGTTCATGTCAAGTGTCCAGAACATCCTGTCACCAGAGACCCAGAGAAGATCAGGGCCTGGGGTTGGGGAGTGACTGACAGGGGGCGGGGTCTCCTGAGGTGATGGGAAGGCGCTGGGCCTAGAAGAGGTGGTGGCTGGATCACATGGGGGTGTAGAGCAGCACTCGGTCACTGCGCCCTTTTAGGTGGCTCACTTTGCAGATTTGGTGGTGATGTTTGTTTTTGTGATCCCGGGGCGCCCCACCCCTGAGCCATGTCCCCCGCTTTTTATTTTTATTTTGGGACAGGGCCTCATTAGGTTGCCTAGGCTGGCCTCAAACTTTCGATCCTCCTGCCTCAGCCTCTTATTTCTGGGGTGACAGGCACCAGTTGACCTTGATAAAATATCAGAGAGGGAGGAGACCCCGAGGTCTCCCAGGGGGTGACGGCACCACGTGTGGTTGGGGTGCCGGGGGTTGGCAGCACCCCTTCACTGCCGTGTCCTCCCCTGCAGCCTGCTGAGGGATGCCCAAGAAGTTCCAGGGCGAGAACACCAAGTCGGCGGCGGCCCGGGCACGGAGGGCTGAGGCCAAAGCGGCAGCTGATGCCAAGAAGCAGAAGGAGCTGGAGGATGCGTACTGGAAGGACGAGGACAAACACGTCATGAGGAAGGAGCAGCGCAAGGTGGGCAGGGCTGTGGCGTAACTTGGTGGAGTGGGGAGGTCTGGCCTGGAAGGTTGGTGGGAGGGAGGTGGAGACAGCGGGTGCAGCTTGTGCAAAGGCCCTGGGGTGGTGAGAGCTGGCCTCATTTAGGGAATGGCGGGCCAGGCCCCTCCTCTCTGCGGGGGTGGAGCTAGACTGGTCAGTCCTGCTGGAAAATTCAGCTCCTGAGGGACATGTGGCAATGTCTGGAGATGTGTTTGGTTGTCACAATTAGCGAGGAGGGGCCGCTGGCATCTGGTGTGGAGGCCAGGGGTGCGGCTCAGCACCTGTGGTGCAGGGACGGTCGGGTGCCGGGTTCCGGCAGAGCTGCAGCTGGGTGCTGAGCCCGCCGCTCCCCCACAACCTGCTCCCCAGGACTGCTTGGTTCAGGGCGGTGCTGACCTGCTGCGGACAGTAGGTGGTGCCCGCGACCCACACCAGCCAAGTCCTGGTTTCTGTCCCGGTTGTCTGGTGAAGTGCGCTGACCCCGCCCGAGGGCTACTGTCCTACCAGTCCAGTTGTGGCCACCAGGGTGCTTGTCCCTGTTTCCCCTCCGCCTGTGTGGGGCTGCTCCTGTCTTGTTTTCAGCAAACCCAGAATGTCACTGGTTTCCCTCTCTGCGCCTCGTGATGCCCTGGGACCTGGGACGTCTTTACTCTTTGCTTTAGAGGCGGGTCTCTAGGGCCGCAGGGAGGCTTGGTGGCAGAGCGCCGGCTGGCCCTGAGGCTCTGGGTTCCACAAGCAAAACAGCGCACCTCTGGCGTCGCGGCGGCCTTCCCTCCCTGCCCCAAGTCCTTCCTTCCCCTCATCCAAAGTCCCCAGCAGCCTGGCTGACAGCTCAGAGGAAAAACGGGATTGGCCAAAATCCCGCCTCCAGACCGAGACCCCCGAGACCCCCAGCCACAGCCTGGGAGCAGGTCATGCCCCGAGCTCGGGCCGTGGACCCCTCCCGTGGCCTGCGCTTGGGTGTCGGGTGGTCGCCGTCCTCTGAGTGGGGACACCTAGGCACAGAGAGAGCAGGCAGCGGGAGCACGTGTCCTGGGTGGGTGGGGCCACACGCCATGTGGCACGCACCTGGGAGGGCGTGGGGAGCAGTGGCCCACTGCAGTGGGGACAAGCTCCGGGGCCAGCAGAATCCCGCCGACACTAGACGTTGACAGGTGCACAGAAGTGGCCTTGGACAGTGCTGGGGGGCTGCCACCGCACACCTGCCTCCCCCGCTCCAGAACCTTCCGCGCTCCCCTTGCCCCTCCCAACAGCAGCTGCCATCGGTGGGCGGGCATTGCGCCCCAACGCCAGCGCTGGACCCGCTGTCCCCTGAATGAGGTGGTCGCCGACTCCGGGCACTTTAACCCCTGAGGTCCCGCCTTCGTGGATGAAGAGCCGGGACCTTGGGGCGGGATTAGGTCAGATCAGGTCTTGGGGTGGCGCCCGTGATGGAGTCCTGCGACTTTATAAAGGAGAGGGGACAGATACACACGCTCCGTCTTGACAAGCACGATGCCACCTCCATTCCCATAGACCCAGCCCCTGACCTCTCTCTGACCTCCAGAACCAAAATAAACCTCTCTTCTCTGTGGAGTCAGCCTGCCTGGGCATGTCGCTGTAGCAGTGCAAAGTACACCTATACTGGTGGCAGGTTCCCTGTGTCCACGGTGGCCCTCACTTGGACACTCCGCATTTAGTGGCGCTGCCGATGGCTCTTCTCCACCATCCTGTGGCGGCCTGGGGTCCCTGTCCCAGCCTCGGGGTCCCGCCGGCCCCTCCCTGTTCCTCCGTGAGAGCTGTGCAGATCTGTGGCTGCACCGGGTCCTGGTGGGAGGTGAAGGTCAACAGTCAAGTGCACTATTTTGATGAAAAAAAAAAAATCCAAACCACTGACCTCCAATCCCCACTGTTCTGGCCCCCAAGCACCTGTCACCCGCCCTGTGCCTCCACCGGTGCCCCACTCTGTCCTGGCTGCTCAATGGCTGCGTTGTGACCCGGAGCCTGGCGGTGGCATTTCACATTGGCCATGAGCACTGCCACGCAGCTGGGTTCCAGCTCAGCCCTTTATGAGGCTCAGTTTTGGGGGGTTTTGGTACCAGCTCCTGAACTCGGGCACTTACCACCGAGCCCCATCCCAGCATTTTTAATATTTTATTTAGAGACAGGGTCTCGCTGAGTTGCTGAGGCTGGCTTTGAACTTGCAATCCTCCCGCCTCAGCCTCCACGAGCTGCTGGGGTGACAGGACTGCCACCACACCTGGCATAAGGTTCATTTCTGATAGCTCTGAAGTGTTCCACCAAGTGGCGGTGTCCTTGCCCCACCACCCACGCTGCCAACTGCTAACTGTCCTACTGTACAGAACTGAGTGGCCTTTAAAAAATTGTGTGTGTGTGTGTATGTATGAGGATATGTGCCAGTGTGTGTACTCGTGTGAGCCTGAAGGTGTGTGTGTGAGTATGGGTGTGAATGTGTCAGTGTGTTTGTGTGGATGTGTGTGTGCATGTGTGGGTATGTGTGTGACTGTAGTTTGTGGTTGTGTGTATGAGTGTGAGTGTGCGTGTTCATGTGTGTGTATGTATGCCTGTGAGCATATCTATGAATGTGTTTAAGTGACTGTGCATGAGTGTACAAGTGTGTGAGTGTATGCACATGTGCGTACATGTGAGTGTATGTCTGTATATGTGTGCACGTGTGTTTGAGCATGCCTTTTTGAGTGTTCATGTGTGTCTGATTTGAGTGCATGAGAGGAAGTGTGTCTGAGTGTGTGCAAGTGTGTGTGTGTCAATGTGTCTGAGAGTGTGAGTGCATATGAATGTATGTGAGTGGGGGTGTGCATATGTGTGGTTGTGTTTGTGCATGACCGTACAAGTGTGTGTCAGTGTGTTGTGTATAAGTGTGACTGTACATGTGACTGGGTGTGTTATGTGAGTGAATGAGTGCATGTGTACATGTGTGTGTGAGCACTGTGCACACACTTGTATGTATTTCAGTGTGTATGTGTGGGTGTGAGAGTGCATGGGTGTATGTGCATGTATGTGTGAATGTGTTAGTACGTGTGTATTTGAGTTTCAGTGCATGTATGTTGGGGGTGTGAATATGCATGTGTGCATTTGTGTGTGTGTGTGTGTGAATGAAAGTGTATGTGGTGTCTGGTTGTGGTTGTGTGTTTGTGTGAACATTCATGTTTATGAGTGTGAGTGGATGTATGTGTTTTTGAGTGTGAGTTTATGTGATTGAGTGTGTGTGTGAGTATGTATGTGTATGAATGTGTGATTGTGTATGAGTGTGTGTTCGAGTGTATGTGTGTACACTGTAAATGTGTCAGTTGTGAGTGATTTTGTGTGTCAGTGTGTATATGTATGAGCATTTTGGGACAGTGTGTGTGAGTGCATGTGTTTATATAAGTGTATGTGTATATAGGTGTGTGTGTCTATGTGTGCATATATGACTATGTGTGTGTAATTGTGTTTGAATGTGTATGAGTGTATGTGTGTGAATGTGTTAGTACGTGTGTGTTTGTGTGTGTGCGTGTGTGCATGCACACGTGCGCGACTGTGCGTGTTTCCTGGTGGTGGACCAGGCCTAGGCTGGTGCTGGCGGGCTCTGCTTCCCACCTGTGTGCCCAGCCCCGTCTTGAAGGGCGCCTTGGTTTGGACAGGCCCCCTGCGCTGCCCGGGCTGGTCTTGAACTCCTGTGTGCAGGTATCCCTCCTGCCTCAGCGTCCTGGCAGCTGGGGCATAGGCGGCCACCACCACACCCTAACAAAAGTCGGATGCTCGTCTCACACTACTGCCCTGTCCTGTAGCAGTGATGACCACGTGCTTCCTGTCCTTCCTGAGTTGTTGGAACCTTCCAGAATCCTTCCATTCTGGCACACTTCTGTCAGCAGCTGCTGGGCACCGGAAGGCTGGGGACAGCGGGCTGGCTGCCTGGAGGAGAGAGGTGGCACCCTGTCTGTGGTACAGCAGCCCCGGGAGGCAGAGCTGCCAACTCCACCTCCCTCCCTCTTCTTAGGAAGCCACGTGTCACATGCCTCCACTGTGGGGTCCCACTCATGACCCCATCCAATCAGAACACTCCCTAGGCTGCACTTGCTAACACCATCAACACCCCATCCTGGGGACCGAGTTCCTGGCACACGAGCTTTGGGGACATGTTCCAACCACAGCCCACGGCCAGCACCAGGGAGCCATGGAGGAGGAGGGCACTTGGGATGGGACCCCGCCTGCTTTCCCTCCTCCTGCCTGTGTCTGGCCAGCGCCCAGAAAGCCACCACCCACAACCAAGGCTCTCGGGTCATCAGAGGGCTGGAAGGTGGATCTTGAGTACAGAGAAGAGCCACCTGGTGTAGTGGGCGGGCTCAGGGGCGCCAGAGTGGCCAGGGAGGAGGCCGGCAAGGGCACTCCAGGCTAGGAAGAGCCAGCACAAAGGGCCTGAGGCAGAGTGGCACTGGAGCAAAGTAAGTAGGGGAGTGCGCATGCGCCAGCATGGGTCGAGGAGCCTGTGACTGGTGGGACACTGATCTCAGAGTCCAGTGGCCCTGCCTCAGTGCCCAGGCCCAGAAGTGGGCAGAGCCCAGTGGCCACATTTAAACACCTTTGACTTTAGTCCCCTTCCGCTTTCCTCCTGTGCAGCCTGGCCTTAGGTGTGAGGACCCCTCTTCTGGGACCCTCAGTTCTGCCAGGTCTGTCTGGGGATACAGGTGGTGCCCCAGGGAATGCTGCAGGTGTCCTTGGGAGAACTTGGTGAAGTCCCAGGCGGTGAACAGGCAGATGGGGTGTCTAAGGGCAGGGCCTGTGGGGTGCCGGGCAGATGGCGGGGGCGCATCCTGCGCTGCAGTTGGGCTACAAACAGACCGGAACCTCCCCTCCCCCCACAGGTGGCGGGCAGTGGCCAAGGCAAGTCCCACAGACCAGCTGTCCCTCACCCAGCTGCCTCAGGGCCTCCCTCAGGGCCGGGTCGGGATCTACCCCACCCTCACTAATAGGCTGGGGACATTTGGACAGTATGTTCCCCAGCTGCCAAAGGAGCCCAGACTTCCCATGGCTCTTGGAACCAAAAGCAGAGCCCTTGCGGGTGTTGAGGCTCCTCGTCGCTCAGTCCCCACCCTCCTGGCCCCTCTCCCCCCGCGGCTCCCCTGGCTGCCCATTCCAGCCACACCAGCCTCCAAACCCATCAGGTCCTTTGTACCTGCCACACCCTTCACCAAGGAAGGCCCCACTCTGGCCACCCCTCCTCCTGTCCCCAGTCCCTTCTCCAAGGGCTGCTGCTTGTCCTGGCCAGGGTCCCCTGTTGCCCACATTCCTGTAGGAGCGGAGCCTTTCGCTTGGGCAGCCCCTGGGCCCATCTTGAGCCCCGCTGTGTCCCCGCACCCAGCACAGAGTACGACACCACAGGCCTCTGTCCAGGTTGGCTGGGATGACCACCAGGACCCCGCATGCCAGCCGGGTGCGGTGGCTTCCCCAGCCTGACACCGGTCCCCACAGGAGGAGAAGGAGAAGCGGCGCCTGGAGCAGCTGGAGCGCAAGAAGGAGACGCAGCGCCTGCTGGAGGAGGAGGACTCCAAGCTCAAGGGTGGCAAGGCGCCCCGGGCGGCCCCCAGTAAGGTCACCCGCGCCCAAATTGAGGACACACTGCGTCGGGACCATCAGCACAGGGACACCCTCGACACAGGTGGGCTGCCTGTCACTATGGAGTGGCCCTCTTGGCCACTGAAGGCTGAACCCTGGGATGTACCCCGGGGTCTGCAGGCCTCCTTCATGCTGAAGGATGGCTGGGACGTCACAGGTGTGCGCATGCGTGGATTGATCCGCACCCACCCGCCAGGGGCTGGTGCTCCCCAGAGTGCTAGTGGGAGGTCCCGAGCCCCACACGTCAGGGCCTTGGGGGGTGAGGAGCGTGCAGGGCTGGGCACAGGGGCGGCCCCCTCCCGGTCAGACCCGGCTCCTCTCCGCCCCCTCCTCCCTCGCTGGCTGCTTCTGCCGCTGCCTCATCATCTTGGAACTCTGCATCTCTGACTCTGCGTGTCTCTGTCACCACCCACCCGGCCGTCTGCCTGCCCCAAGCAGAGAAAACCAAGAGCCATCTGGAGGTGCCGCTCGAAGAGAACGTGAACCGCCGCGTGCTGGAGGAGGGCAGCGTGGAGGCGCGCACCATCGAGGACGCCATCGCTGTGCTCAGGTAGGGGTGGGGCGGGGCGGGGCGGGGCGTCCCCGGGTGGGAGGGTCCGTGGGGCGGGGCCTCCCTACGGGGCGGAGTGGGGACCTGCCCCTGGACACCTCCACCCAACCCCACCACCCTGCAAGCGACCCAGCGCCCTAATGCCCGCCCCGTGCGCTACCAGCGTGGCGGAAGAGGCGGACCGGCACCCCGAGCGCCGCATGCGGGCGGCCTTCACCGCCTTCGAGGAAGCGCAGCTGCCCCGGCTCAAGCAGGAGAACCCCAACATGCGGCTGTCGCAGCTGAAGCAGCTACTGAAGAAGGAGTGGCTGCGCTCTCCGGACAACCCCATGAACCAGCGGGCCTTGCCTTTCAACGCCCCCAAGTGAGACCAGAACTGGGGGGACCGCCCCACAAGCGGTCCAGGCCACGACTCGACTGCGAATGCCCTCTCACTGGGTCAGCTCTGAGGATTTCAGAGAGTCCAGGGACCCTGGTACCTGTCCCTGGGGCTGTGCGCCATCACCGCCAACCCTCTTTACCCAGTGGGTCCCTGCTCTGAGTGACACCCTCAATATCCCGCGGCACCTGTGGAGCCCCGGGACTGAGCACCCAATAAAGGCGGTGGGCAAGGCCTGTGTGCGTGGGTAGCTGCGGAGGGTTGGCCAGAGGTGAGGGACGGCTGGCAGTGTTCTCGTTGGGTACCGGCCCTGACCTGAGCTGAGACCATGGCTGGGAAAGGCAAGGGCCCCACTTCAAGCTATGACACTTGTCCACTGAGACCCGTATGACCTTTTCCTGAGCCTGCAGGGCTCAGAGACATGTGCTGCCCCAAGGTCATGTAGCATTTCAGGGCCAGGGAGAGAGGACAGTTGGAGGCCAGTGTTCATCTGCCACCATACTTGGGGTGAGGGGATACTGGTTCCTCTGCTGTCATCTCTATAGGGGAGGCGTCTGGGAGGGATTCTGGGCTGGCTTCCCACTGGTGGATTTCTCCTGAGCCTGCTTTACAGGATGAGTCAGATGGCATCCTGAGGGGGGACGAGGGCGTTGAGCTGGCAGGGCCCAGAGGCTGCAGCAGGCAGGTGGATCTGGGTGGGAACAAGCATCCTATCAGACTGTGGGAAAGATAGGGTGGGCTTTGACCCCATTTCTGGCTTCTAGAGCCCATAATCCATGGAGAGAGGGTCAGCAGGCAGGTTCACGAGGCTGTGGGGTGAGCACATTGCTTGGGCCATGGGGGAGGAAAGCCAGGTCTGATCCAGGCTGTGCCTTCACCCATGAGGTCTGGTAGTGGCCAATCATCTGTAGCACTTGACTTCGTGGGCTCAGGGACAAAGGGCAGGACAGCAACTGGCTCTGGGAATGGCTATGAGGCAAGGGAAAGATCCAGGCACTTGGGAGGCTGAGGCTGACCACAAGTTTGAGGCCAGCCTGTGTGACTTAGTGAGACCGTGTCTCAAAAACAAAGGGTTGGGACATGGCTCTGTGGTAGAGCGCTTGCCAGCACTGCAAGGCCCTGGGTTCAATCCCTACTACCACATACACAAGCAATAGATATTTGTTGAGTGCCTGCTGTATGCCAGGCCTTGGTACTGTAGGAATTGAGATCACCCATGATGTGCATGGGGGGGAGGTTGGCGATTTTGCCGGGCTGCTCTTAGGGCTCCCGTCTAGGGCAGGCCCTACCTGTGCCCACTGCTCCTTGACCTCGGAGCCTTCAGCACAGCAGTTCTGTTCCCCTCCACACCTCTGCCCTGTTGGTTCCTCTCACCAGGAGAGATGCAGGTCCCCACAGATGGGGACCCAGCTTAGAGAGTCAGGGCTGGGGTGAAGTGGGCCAGCCTCTGCCCAGAGGTAGGGAAGGCCTCAAGGAGGAGGGACCTAAAGGATGCATAGGAGTTCTTCACCCAAGCAAAGGACAGAAATGCAAAAGGAACCGTACTTACAGAGGCCTGGCAGTCACAACTCCTGTGACTTGGGAAGGTGCATTGATAATTGGGTACAGCTGAAGAATAGTATGGCCGGTGCTGACAGGACTGGAGCTGTAGCCAGAGGTGGCTCACCTGCCCAGCATGCCCTAAGCCCAGGTTCCATCCCCACTATAGGAAAGAACCACCCAAAATAGACTGAGCCCAGGACTTAGTTTGGAGGTCCCCCAGGAGCCAACCCTGGGACTAGGCCTTCAGGGTTTGGGAAGGGGGATACAGAAAAAAGCCCCAGGAAGCCTCAGTGAGGATTAAGGGACTTGAGGGTACAGTGCCTAGCAGGGGGTGCTGAGGAAGGGAATGGGGACTGTACCAGCCAAAAGAACTGCCCCTAAATGCCAGGCCCCGGCCAAGCATGTAACAGCTGCATCAGAGTCCTGGGACACGGCCAGTTTATCCATGGGTGCAGGTGCCCTAGTCAAAGAACAGGTCCAGATCACGCTCCACAAATGGAGGCCTGGGTTCGAATCCCATCTGCACCTCTTTTAAGATCTCAGGCAAGGGCCTTAATGGTCTAAGCCTCAGTTTCCTCCCCTATAAAACGGGGGGACAGACTGTCTTGAGAATCCTCGAGCCTGGGAAGGGCGAGTGCTAAAGAGGGGCTTGGCAAAGGAACCTCCCGCGTGACAGCGGGGGAGGAGGGAAGGTCGGGGGTCAGTGGTGATGAGCCTGTTGGAAACAGCCAGGCGGGAGCATCGGCCTCGTCCGGGAACGGAGTGGGGCTTCACCGAGACGGTGGGGCGCCTGGGCGGATCGGCGCGTGGCATGATCTCCTGGAGACCTGTAAAGGGACCAGAATGAAGCTAAAACTCAGGACTGGAGCCGAGAGCCTCGCCCTGAGCCCTCAGACATAAAGACAAAGCGGATAACTTTGTTCCTTCGGACAGAAAAGACTCAGCTCGCTCCGGCCCCGCCCCTGCGGAATTCCAGGCCTGCGCCTGCGCGCTGGCAACTGGGAATCCCCGCTCCAGGAGGGGGCGTGAGAGGGGAGTTCCGTGCATTCCCAGCCCTCCCCGCGCGCGTTGCCAGGACGACCGGGCGGAGCCGCGGGGCCGCCGGGTGCGCACTGCGCCTGCGTAAGGGGTGCTTGCCTCACGCGTCTGGGCTTTCCCTTCGCGCGGCGGCTGAGCGCGCATGCGTTGATTCCCCTCCACCCACGCTCTTCTCCGCCCTGGGGGCCGGGGAATCCTTTCCAGCCGCAGTGCGCACTGGGGGCGGGGTGGGGAAACCGGCTCAAACCGGAGTGGGGTTTGCCGAGGGGGTGGCGGAGGAGCTTGCGAGAGCGGGGTCTTCCCGAGGTTTCCGCTCCAGCCCCCGCCGTCGCCTTGACAACCGGGCGCGCAGGCCGCAGTGCGAGGGCGGTGTCGGCCTCGGGGAAGCCGCGTAGCTCTGCGCCTGCGCGCGGGTCGGAACCGACGGCCGGGGTTCCCCTTGGTGCACCCTGGGGGCGGTCAGGAGGGGGAATGGAGGCGACTGTGCGGGAGGGGAGGAGGAGGGGCGGATGCCGGAGAAGGGGCGGTGGGGGAAACGCGGTGGATGGGGATGTGGGGCGCGGGGTGTCGGGGAAGGGCGAGCCTCGGGTGGGGGACCGGGGAGGGTGGGATGAGAGAACCCGGAGGGGGAGGGGATCGGGGCTCTGAGAGGAGCGGAGGGAACAATGAGGAACAAAGAGACCAGGAGGGGACTTTGGGGTGGAGGAGTGGAGGGAGGGGAGGGGGGCGGGGAGAGGTACTTTCAGCGCCCCCAGCGCTTGGCCTGCAGGGGTGGCAGGTGGGGGTCGCTGTGGCAGAAAGCAGCTTGGGTGTCGGTTTAAAATTTCCAGATTTAGAAAATAAAGTACTGAGCATCCATTTAAATTTGATTTTCAGATAAACGAGTCATTTTATCATGTGTGTCCCATTCCGTGTCCTGTACCTTCTCCGGCAGCCCTTAGGTTGTTTTTCTAAACGCCTAGGGATCCTGGGGGAGCCGCCTTTGTCTCGGTGTCCCTGACGCCCCACCGCCCTGCACGCGCACGCGGGGTGCCCTCTCATCTCCTGTCGTGTTGGCCTTGAACTCCAGCCTGAAGTCCAGTCCTGGGCAGCCAAGGAAAGGCGCAAAGACGTGGCACGCATACACACCCCTGGGGACTGCTAATCCTCCTGCCCAGCCCAGGGTCCTCTGCTTTTGGCCCGCTCCCCCCCCCCATTCTCTGGTTATATAAGTACGTGGCACATAGTAGGTGCCTAAGACAGCTGAGCCCTTGGTCCCATGGGGGTACATACCCTCTCTAGGTTTTTGTCCCCTTCAGCAAATCAGTTTTCCTTTTATCCTTCCCTTTGGTTTCAAAAGTGTAAGATAATAAAACATTAGGAGAAGTAGTGAGAGGGGAAGGGGCAGCCCCCAGCACCCCCCCCCCCACACACACACACATTTGTCTTTGCTGTCCCCACTTATTTGCCATTGGAACAGTTTCACTTCCAGGCTGGTTTCCACTCATGAGGTGAAGAACTCACTTCCTGTGGGTCCCTTCCCCAGTGGCATGTTATTTTGGAAATGGCTTAGCAGTCTGGGGTGGGGGACACGTGGCCACCTGACTCTTTAATTTTGCTGCCCAAGGGGACATCCCTGCCACAGCTGGGGGCTGCGGTGGATCTTCTGTGCTTTGACCCCAAGGCACTTTCTAGCACCTCTTTGGATGGCATTTCCTTTTTCAGTGCAGGGTGATCCCTGGGGCCCTGTGGGTCTGGAGCAGGATCCTCTGACCATTGGCCAAGCCCAAGGGGCACTTAGCTCCTTGTTCCCTAGGGGAAGCACAAGATGAATGAGTGTACAGGTCACACCAGGGGCCAAGAGCAGTGAGGACAGTAAGTCAGGGTGATGTGCCCTGAGAAGGGGCGCTTCTAGGCAGGAGGTGACCTTGGACCAGGCTCAGAAAGGGGTAGGAGGTGAGGAGAGCAGGGGAAGGGGATCCTGGTGGAGGGACAGCCAACCCCAAAGGTTCAGGCTGGACTGGTTCAGAAAGATGCTGGGCGTGGCCAGAGTGCACTGGGTGGTCTGGGGAGACAGCTCAGGGACTGGGGCAAGAGGTGCAGCAGGAGGAGAAACCAGACTCTGGGCCTGGGAGAAGTCAGGGTCCTCTAGGTTCAGGAAAGAGGGAGGGGGAGGGAAAGGCACTTTGCAGGACAGGGATGTGACCTGTCACATGGGTGAGAACAAATCTGTGTCAGGGAGAAGAGGCTGTAGGGGGATGGCAGAGACTGGACCAGCTTTGGGACTGGGGAGGGATCAGGGGCTCCCTAAGGTGATGGTGGGGTCTTGCGATCTGCAGAGGACCCCTCAGTGATGGGAGCCCTTGTTATGCTGCCTCTAACTTTCTTCCTCATTGTATTTGACCCGAGCACAAGTCACAGGGAGCATGAAGCAGCCCCCAGGGAGGTATTGGGTATGCCCCCATCCACGGCTCTGCGGACCACAAGCTCTCTGCCTGCAGACGCACACCCGAGAGGCCCCCTCCCCTTTGTTCTCACTCCCTGCACGCACGGTCCGGGTCGCGCTGTCGGCTCCCACCGAGCGCCTCTCACTCACACAATGGGAGAGGGGTTCGCTCCCAGCCTCCTCCCGTCTTGCTGTCCGAGTCCCCCAGCCCCGCCCGCGCCGCGGAATCCCGGGTCCCTGCGGGGGGAGCACAGTACCTTTCACGACGTGCTCCCGGCTGGGGGACTGAGGAGGGGGAGGACTATTTTTAGAATATATGGAAGGAAAGGGGTGGGGGGAAGGATGGAGGTCTGTAGAAGCCTCTCAGCTCCCAAGAGGAATGCCCCCTGCCCCAGACCGCGGCAGAAGGTGGGTGGGGTTCAAAAATGGGGAGGGGCACTGCAAGGGGTGGCTTGGGAGGGCGCCAGGCTTTCTTGGGGGTGGGGGTGGCATCTGAAGGAGGAAAACAGCAAGATGAAGCCGGCGGCCCCACAGATCAGCTGGAGAGACCCTGGAGGTGGGCGCTGTCCTTTGACCAGAGGGAAACTGAGGTTCAGAAAGGGGTTCGGACAGGACCAAGGTCACCGAAGGGGTTTCCTCTGGGTTCCCCCTGGCCGTCCCCCAGGGATCCAGACCCCGGGAGCCGCATTGATCTAATTTGGAGGAGTGACCTTCACAAATTCTGTCGCCTGGGGCCTCTGCCATTCAGGCGCAGAGGGGTCCGTGATCCGGCAGGTGAATTGGGGGAGGGGACACATCACCGATCCAAACACGAGACATTGAAGTTTCCTGTTGTTTGTTTTCTGGTCACCTAGACTCCCCCTTTCTCACTGGGACCTTCCAGCCAGGGCAACGTCACCGGCTGCCCCGAGCCTCTAGTCTCGCCCTGGACCCTCCCCAGTCCCCAGAGCCAGCGCCCCCTGCCCGGCCTTGTGCCCCCTCGCTGGCTGGGCGCCTTCCCGGGATTCTGGAGATCCGGCCCCGGAGTCCGGGGGGCAGCCGTGTCCAGCGCTGCCGGGGCGCCGGCCCGGCAACGGGCTTCCCTTCTCCCGGCCTCAGTTTCCCCGGTTGGACAACGTGCGGCCTCCAGCCGGCAGCCGCAGAGGAGCCTCCCAGCTCGGAGCGTCCCCCGAGATTGCTGTCACGCCCCTGAGGGGGGTGGGCTCGGCGAGACGCGGAGGGGGATTCCCTCTTGTCCCCTTTCTGGAGAAGAGCGGCGGCGCTCGGCGGCGGCTCCCTCCCTGGATCCCCGGGGTCGGCCCCCTCCCGGGCGGCGGGGCGGGGCCGGGGCGGCGGGCGGGGGTCAGCTCTGCGGCGGCGCGCGCACACCTCCCGCTCTCCGCCCTTGCCCGGCCGTGCACTTGTCTTCGCGCTCGGGCCAGGCGCCGGCTCCGGCTGCTGCGGCCGCCTCTGGCCGGTGAGTGGGCAGTCGGGGGATCCCAGGGCGGGGGTCCCAGCGGCGTCCCCCATCTCCTTGGTGGGCGAGTAGGTCAGGGACTTGTCCGCCTGGGGCAATCCAAAGGGGAGCTGCGGAAGGGAGCGAGCGTCCCTTCTTGTGTCCCCCTGACACAGAGCCCTGTGTCTGCTCCGGACCCCACCCCCGTATCTCCGGGAGGAGGGGGCTCCTGCTCCAGGGTCTGGGGATGCAGAGACAGACCCCTGTGGGATGAGAGTGGGGACCTGGGGACTTACCAGGCCAGGGGCATCTTCCGTTGCCGGGTGCTGGCCCCCATGACCCTTCGCTCCCTCCCTTCCCTCCCATAGTCCCGTTCCTTCCCCGGTGCTTGGTGGGGATTCCCTCCGCTGCTGAGTGGGAGGGAACCCCCAACCTTAGAGCTCGGCAGCTGGTCTTTCCTCTAAGCTCCCCCTACCCTCATTTACAGAAGGAAGGAGGACTGAGGCCCAGAGAGGGTTACCACTTGCCCAAGGTCACCCAGCTGGGCAGGGGCAGAGCAGGTTTGGGGGTTAGATTCACTAACCCTAGAACCGGCTGGGGGGCTATCTCTGGATCCTCTGCTCTCTGGGTTCAACCCTGAGGGTGGGTGGGAGGGCCCTCCTGGGGGCCCTGGATCTGGGCGTATTCCTTACAATCTCATTTTCCTCGTCTCCCCATCAGCTTGAGACCCAGTCTGAGCTGAGGAGCCCCGACCTGGCTCTTTCCCTAGGTTCTCTGATCTCTTCCTCCTTTGTCCTCCCTGGCCCCCTCTCCCTTAGCCTCTTCAGGATGCCCAAGACCTTGTCAGAGGGAATCCTTGAGGTGACGGGGTTTTGCACATGAACAAACCAAAGCTCTTTGAGTCAAGCAGGACAGAATCTCAGACCTGAGGGGCGACCTTGGACCACCCTGCTGCCCTCCTGGGCCAGCAACAACTCCAAGGCCCCCTTAGCTGGAAGACGAGGGCTCTGTGCCATCCAGGTGGCCCTTGCCCCCCATCCCAGATCCTGGTGAAAGAAAGGACCTCTGTGACATTCAAGTTCTTGGCTGGGTTTCCCCTCCATCTCCCTCAAACCAGCCCCTCCCAGCACACCGAAAGTGGAAAGGAACCGTGGAGGGACATGGGGGAGGGCAGAGAGAGCAGTCAGTGTCCAGCACCCAGTGGAAACGGGAGCGTCCTCCAGGGCTCCCCAAGGCCCCGCTGGACAGGCAAAGCCACCGATTTTAAGTTTCTTTAAAACTCCCAAAGTGACCTAACTTTCAACGTGGAGTTACGGCAACATCTGCTCTGGGAGCCACTCCCCTGGGTCCCTGTCTTACCCCACACCCCTTCCCCTTCTCAGCTCCTTCCAGGTCCTGAGAGGACGCGCACAGCAGCTACAGCACCCCGCGGCTGGGCGGTCACCCGGCAGGACTGAAGACCCCTGGACAGCAGCTCAGTAACAGAACCCTGCACCCAGGGTGAGTGAGTCGAGCCTCAGGTCACCTTTGGGGTTGGGGGTGGCCCAGGGTTGGACAGATGATAACTTCAGGAAAAATTGCCAGCCTTTGAGATGATGACAATATAATATTAAAAGTAATAGCAACAATTGCTTTCTAGAGCCCCTCTCAAAAGTCACTTCCTGTTTACTCTGATCATGGGTAGCAGAGAACTTGCTCAGAGGGTCTGGTGGTCCACCTAGGGTCACACAGCTAGAAAAAGATGGAGTTGAACCAGGTCCAAAGGCCCCCACAGCCTCCACTTGCTTTCCCCTGCAGACACTGCCTGACGTTTGGGGTCATCAATGAGCTTCCCCTGGGGATGTTATGGTCACTCAGTGAATCAACAAATACCGGGCAATTGGCTACTGTGTGCCAGGCTCTGGGCTGGGTACTGGGGACACAGCAAGGACCGAGACAGGTCCAGGTCAGTCCTTGTGGAATTTCATGGGGGCATCAGTTAAGAAAGTGACATGTATTGGCAGGAAAATGGAACATGATGGTGTATGAGAATGACCAAGGGGGGCTGGGGATGTGGCTCAAGTGGTAGCGCGCTCGCCTGGCATGCGTGCGGCCCGGGTTCGATCCTCAGCACCACATACCAACAAAAATGTTGTGTCCGCCGAGAACTAAAAATAAATAAATAAATAAATAAATAAAAAGAGATTGACCAAGGGAGTCTCCTGTAGACACACAGAAGAGCTTCTTCAAGGGGAAGGGCAAGGTTCCCTGTAGGTGGACAGAGGGGCCTCTCTGGGGAGATGACCATGAGGAAGAGGATGAACAAACCAAGTGAGAGGTAGGGGAGAGAGGTAGGCAGACCCAGCAGAGAGAACAGCATGTGCCAAGGTCCTGAGGTGGGAACAAGCTTGGCATGTCTGAGGAACACTGAGAAAGTAACTGCGGCTAGAACAGAATGATCAAAGGGGAGAGTGGAGGGAGGCGAAGGCAGAGAAGTTGGCAGGCAAGGAACGCAGGGGCTGAGGTAAGGGAACTGATTGCAGAGCATTGGGCAGCCATGGAGGGGCTGTGAGCAGGGGAGGGGCCTGATGTGATTTAGGATTTTCAGAAGCTGTCATGACTGCTGTGGAAGGTGGGGACCATCAGGGCCAGAGTGGAAGTGGCAGAAGGTCGGAGCCATGGCTGGAGGCATCTGGTGCTGTTAGCTGGGCAGGACCAGAATAGGCTTCTCGAGTGGGCTGGGGACGAGGAAACTGGGACCAGGCTTCTGCCTTGGGTCAAGGACCACAGGGAGGGAAAAGCAGGGGTCTGTTGTGCCTGGGGAACACCGGGAGCACATCCTGGGGGAGGTGTCCCTGAGCCAGCAGGGGAGTGAGTGGAGGAGTTAGCCAGCCGGCAGCAGAGGCTGGATCTGTGTGGAGGCCACAGGGGGGGGGGGGGAGGGTGCCACTGAGTGCACAGAATTAGAGGAACACGGTGCAATTTGCAACCAAGAAAGATCCTTCTGGGGTCTGGAGGAGTCGGCCAGGAGTCCCTATTGAGATTGTCCACGTAGTAATTAGGCCAGTGCCAGCTGCAAGCATCCATTGAGCATTTGCTGTGTGCCTGGGACATTTAATGGGGATTAACTGCTTACCCCTCTGCTCTCCAAGGGGCCTCACTGCCTTGCTGAGGAAATTGAGACTCAGAGAGGTACCGGCACATCGCGCGGCACCACTGTATGAGTGTCCTGTGGCTGCTAGAACAAATGACCACAAATCGTGGCTTAAAACAACTCAAATTGATTCTCTCACAGTTCTGGAGGCCCAAAGTCGGAAATCGAGGTGTCACAGGGTCACATTCCATTCTGAGGCTCCAAGGGAGGATCCTTCCTGCCTCTTCCTGCATCTTGGGACAGGACTGCATCTGTGCCTCAGGTTGTCACCTGGCCTTCTTCCTGTGTCTGTGTCTACACACAGCCTTCTTATGCAGATGCCAATCATTAGATTAGGGGCCACCTGAATCCAGTATGACCTCATCTTAATTTAAGGACATCTATGAAGACCCTGTTTCCAAATAAGGTCACAGTCTGAGGTTCTTCTCCAATGAGGACTTGAATTTTTCAAACCAGTGCAGCCATAGAGGAATACGCAGGGCAGGTGGCCAGGTAGGGGCCACCAGGAGGGGGAGGGGGGGTAACTGCTGCATCCAAGCCTGAGTGTGAAGGAGGGGACCTTGATATCTGGGGCAGGGACAGGGCCTCTCAGCTCTTTGACAGCCCCAGATGCTCTGTGGGGACTCCTCGCTTCTGCTGGCGTGGCCTCCCACCTGTCTGTCATCCCTAGGCATCCCCCCCCCCCCCCCCCCGCAACAAGCAAAGCCCCTATCCTCTAGGCTCCTTAGCAGAGTCTTATGTATTTATTTAGAGACTCTTTGTGTGTCTTTGTCACCATGGTGTCCCCACCTGAGTACAGGCCCTATTTCTGCATACAGAAAGTGCTTCATAAATGCTGACAGAAGGAACCCCAGGTTCCTAAATCCCAGGAGACCCAGGAACGAGGCCTCTGGGCCCCCTGCCTGCCCCAGCCAGTACCAGCTGCAAGCTTTGTTTGTTCTAGCAGCCAAAGTCTGAAATCAAGGTGTCACAGGGTCACATTCTTGTCCCCTTCCTGCCCTGCAGTCCTCCGGTGCCCAAGGGGGCTAAGCCCTGCAGGTGATTCTGCTCGGTCACCCCACCCAGGCTCCTGCCCATCCTGGGACTCTCTGCCTGGCTTGCCCCTGCAATCCATCCCAATGGTCTCCTGCTTCTCTCTCCAGTACACCCTCCTGGGTCCCCCAGGGCCTCACTGTCTCCAGCTCTTTGAAGTCTGGTGGTCTCAGCCCCTGTCCTGTTTCTCTTGACTTGACTGGATCTCTGCCCAGTGCCTTGGTGTATCTGAGTATATTAATTTTTTGGAGGAGGGTACCCGGGATTGAACCCAGGGCTCTGAGCCACATCCCCAGCCTTTTTAAAATATTGTATTTAGAGCCAGGCTCTCTCTGAGCGGCCTCGCTTAGTTGCTGAGGCTGGCTTTGAGCTTGCAGTCCTCCTGCCTGAGCCCTGAAGTTCTATTCGTTTGTTCTGGTGGTGCTGGGGAGGGGGCCCCGGGCCACACCAGGCAAGCATTCCACCATGGAGTTGCGCCGCCAGCCCTCCGGATTCTTAGTTTTCTATCCTTATTTGAAGAGGATTGTCCCCCTCCTCAGGGAAGCCAGCTCCAGGGGTCTCTAGGAGGAGCGTGGTTTGTACAGTCTGGTCTCTGTCCCCAGCATGAGGCTCTGTGATGGAGCTGGGTGGATACATGAATGAAGGAAGAAGGGACAACCAACCAGAGGGAGGTGAATGAATGGTGAATGCGAGAAGGGAGGGGACGCTGGCCCTGCCCTGCCCTCTGGGCCATACTGGGCACAGCCTCCCCACAGGCTGCTCTGGAAGGCTCCAGGATTTCAGTGGAGGCACAGCTGGTGGGGCCCAGGTCCCCTCCTGCTCAGCTGCTGCCTCTGGGTCCCTGAGGTCCTGTGAGGGTCTCCCAGCCTCCTGCACCCACACCCTCGGCCACTGCCCAGGGATTGCTGGCCCCGAGGAAGGACTTCCTGTTTTGCTGCCTCCAGCAGCCCCTGCCTGTGAGCAGAGGACACTCAGCCAGTGTGCACAGCCATTTCCCCGGGTGTGAGTCCCAGGGGTGCCTTGGCTGGCTACCAAGCTCATTTGCAGGCTCCTTGGGTGCAACCACAGGCTGATGTGAGGCTCTGCCTGGAATACAGCCCCGAGAGGCCCCGCAGGCCCCACCCGAGTCCACTCCCAATGCCCATCACCCACTGCCGGCCTGTCTCCAAGGGGCCGGAGTCCAGTCGGCAGCATTGCCATCTCAGTAGACCACCAGCTCAACTGTCCCAAGTTTGTTCCCTCGAGGGGCCCAAAGGGGAATAAAGGACTTTTTCCAAAGGGAGAAGGTGGGCACAGAGGGTGAGGGGCCTGGGCAGGGCCAGAGGGATGGGGAGTGTGACTGATGCTTTTGTGAACTTTGGCATGTTTACATGTCAGACTTGAATCTGGAAGACAGTGCCACAGCCTACGCAGGCAGGTTGGGCAGGGTCAGCCCGTGGGCACAGTAAATGCTGCCCGTGGAGCAGGACCTGTACAGGGGCTGGATCAGGCAGTCAGTGACCAGGGGCCTGGAGTGCAGGGCAGGGTGTGTTCCTGATCCCTGGAGAGCTGTGGGCGGCTCTCTCAATAGTGTGCTTTAGAAGGACCCTCCCACCCTCTAGGCAGGGACTTCGAGTGCAGAGGGCTGGAGGTGGAAGGAGAAAGAGGGGTGGGGGAGACTGGGGCGACAGGGGGCCTGGCTAGGGAGCAGCTATTCAGGAGGGAGGAGGGACTTTCCTCAACACAGCTGAGATCTGTCCCTCTGAGGTCCCCAAGGCAGTATCGGGGGTTTTGTTTGTTTTTGTACCTACCCTGGTGGCACTCAACCAGCCCCATCTAGGTGGACATGGCAAGGACCACCAGGGCCTCCATTTCCTGTCACATCCCTGAACACTGTCACCACCTCAGGGTGGCCAGAACAGGCTTGGGAGAGGAGAGAACAGGGCCCATCTGCCACCCTGGGCCCTGAGGCATCACCTGGTCCTGCTCAGTCTGGGTCCCATCAGCTGCCCCCCTGCCACCTCCTGCCCAGCGGCCACCCGCCCTCCTTCCTTCCTTCCTTCAGTCCAGCTCTTTTCTGAGAGGAAACTCCACTGTCCCCAGGCAGTGACAACTACAGTCAGGTGTTCCCAACTAGAGCTCCAGGAGGAAAACAGATGGGGGTGTGTGGGGAGAGGGGAGGAGCCAGCTGCTGCCCCAGGGACCCCCAGGCTAGGTACAGATCCAGACACTGCCATCCCTACAGCCAGGGACCAGGGGGACCAGGGCAGTGAGGCCGAGCGTTCCCCACCTCCGTCCCCCGAGCCCCGTTAAGGTTGAATGAACACTGACCTAAATGCCTGGGGAAGGGACACTGTTTGGGGGACCCCCACCTTGGTGATCCCAGCTCGGTGGGGCTCCTGCGCCTGCCATCTGGGCATGGGTGTTGGGGTCTAGGGGTGGAGAGCCCGAGGTGAGCAGGCATCTCCCCTCTCACAGAAGGTGTCCTCCAGCCGGTTACCCGCTCCCCACCGCAGACACCCCGGAGCCCCCCGCTGCAGCAGGCTTCTCGGCACCCCCTACTTGCCCACATCCTGCCCCCGCCTCTGCTCCTCTACGCAGAGCCGACCACTGTGGAGGTCGTTTGGGGAGAGGGCGTCCCTGCAAACTTGTCCACCCAGTGGTGCAGCCGTGCGGAGGGCCCCCAGGCACGCCAAGGTTGGAGGGGCCACTGAAGTCAGGGGACCCATTTTGGGGAACGGGTGGCTAGGAGGTTCCAAGGCTGTGGCAAGCGGGGCTTGTGGTTCTGCCAAGGCCCCTTCCGTGACGCGGGGCAAGAGTGCGAACTTGACCACGAGCTGAGAGGAGAACCGGCGCCTCGAAATGTGGGATCTTTAAATATGGGCGGGGCTAGCGGGGTCGTCGGGGGCGGGGCCAGCCGGGATCGGCCAATCGGCGGCGCCGCTCGCGTCGCACCGCCCCCTCCTCTCCGGGCTGGGGCGGGCCTTCGCCCCCCGGCCGGGCCCGTAGACTGGGCGGCGGGGGATGCGCCGGCCGCTGCCGCCCCCGGCCCCGCCGCCCCGGGGCCCAGCGCCCGCTCGCTGCTGCCCGTCTCGGCCGCGACCCCGGCCCCGGCCTCTGCCGGGGGGTCCACGGCCGCGCGGGACCCTCTCCCCGCCAGCCTCCTCCACCCACCGTCGTCCTCAGGTACACGGTGGGACCGTAGGGGCGGCGGGAGGGTCCACGATGCGCAGCCCCGGGTACCCAGCGAGGGAGCCAGGTCCCAGAGGGGACAGAGTTGGGGGTAGAGGCCAGGAGGGAGGGTCTCGCGGGGTCTGGAGGCCAGGGGGCGCGCGGAGGAGGGGACGAGCGTGCTCCGCCGAGGGAGTGGGAGCTGGACCCGGTCCTGGGGAGCCCGGCGGGGCGCGGGGCGCAGGGCAGCGAGTCTCCGAACTCGCCCGGTACACGTTGGAGGTGGGGAGCTTGCAGGGCTGGCAGGGAGCCGGGATGATTTGGGGACTGGAAGGAGGATCCCCTCACCACGGCTGAGCCCTTGGGCCAAGGGTTGGGATGCTTCGCAGAGGGTCCTCGAGCCCCAGACTCCCAGTTCTCCCTGGACGCACAGGTCCCCGTACCCAGCCCAGGGCACTGCCCCTGCTGTCCTGGAAGGTGTGGCAGCAGATGTGAATGTCAGAGCTGGGGGCCCAGCGAAGACGCTGATGGAGAGGATCAGAGAGGAGGGCAGTGAGTGAGGGTGGCCGCCTCGAGGAGGTCAGGGCAGACCGAGTGGCCCCTGCGGGCTGGCAGGCAGGTTCCTGGTGGTGGTGATGGGGACCAGGCTGGCAGCCAGCATCCAGCTCAGCTCCGAGCTGCCTGTGCCCCAGGGCAGGAGGACAAGTGGAGCCTGCCCACCTTGCAGAGTTAGGGTCCTGAGAGGGCTGAGGGGGTCCCCAGGGTCCTTCCTCACCCTCCACAGGGACACGCAGCCTTGGGGCTGCCCTGGCTGGGACTCAAAACAGGCCTGCGCGTCCTGGAAGTTTCTGCCGTGTGTGGCTCTGGCTCTTTGGAAACACTGGGGTGGGGGTGGGGGCCCAGCTCTAAGGACTGGCGCATGAGCAGGGGACACCTCCTGATCCAGTTCTTAAGAATGAGAAGAGGTGTCTCTTACTCCCTTGCAAGACCAGGGTGTCAGGATGAGTACTATTGGGGTGCCTTAAAGAAGAGGTGTTCCAGAGAGGCAGTGACTTTGCCCCTTAGTAGGGACACCTGAGGGTTCTCCTGGGCAGCTGCTTCAACCAGCCCATCATTTGTAAAAAGGCCTCTGGGGGCTGCTGGCTTTGTCTTTCTTCCCTCATGACTTTAGGTGGGCCAGCTCCTCTGCTCCCTGCTTTTCTCAAGAGCCCTCCTGGGCCCTCCCCCCCGCCGCCCCCCAGCTTCCCAAAAGTCTGTGTGTCTCTTGGGCCCGAGCCTTCAGGGAGCAGGGGTCTTGTGACCAGACACATTCAACAATTCTTAAATGCCCAGGGTGCTCAAATCCAAGTGCAGTCCACAGGGTGCTCCTCCTACCTTATGGGGATCCTCAGTGGTGAAACTGGGGCCTTGAACTTGAAACACACCCTCCTGCTGGGTGCAGCAGCCATGCCTCTGATCCCAGAGACTTTGGAGGCTGAAGCAGGAGGATCACAGGTTTGAGACCAGCCTGCGCAACTTAGCAAAACCCTGTCTCAAAAACTTAAAAAAAGGGGGCTAGGGTTGTGGCTCAGTGGTAGCACCCTCGCCTAGCACATTCGAGGCCCTGGGTTCAATCTTCAGCACCACATAAAAATAAATAGAAAATAAAATAAAGGAATGGTGTAGAAAGATAATAATTAAAAATAAAGCAGGGTTGGGGCTGTACCCAGTGCTAGAGCGCCCCTGGCTCAACCCCCAGCACCACAGAAATAAAAACAAAGGGATGAAACACCTTTCATAGTTCCAAGCCTTGGTTGGTGCTTTGAGGAGTTTCTAGGACTGTGGTGTCCAGGCACCCCCGGGGGAGGGGGAAGAGTACCTGCAAGAGTGAGGCCTCGTCCCCAGCGCCTCTGGTCCTTCCCAGCCTTTAGAAATGGGCTGCCCCTTTTCCAGGGGGATTCTCAGAAAAGACACTCTGTCCTTCTCTTCATCTGAGGCCGGGGGAGGGATCCGGAACTCACCACCCGTTGTCTCCCAGCTTGTGGCCTCTCTGGGGCAAGGCCAGGCTGATTCCCTCTTCCCGTGACAGATCCTGACACCTCTGGATGGCACCAACCTGGTGCCTGCCCTTCCTGGCTGTGTGACCTTGGGCAGTGTGCTCAACCTCTCTGAGCTTTTTACCTCATCTGTAGAATGGGAACAGGCATGTCACCTGCCCTGTTGGGGTGGCAGTAGGGATGAAATGTGATCTTTCTGATCAAGGGCTTGAAACACAGTAAGAGCCCTGGCACTTGTCCACAGAAGGGGCCCAGGGAAAGCCCTCTACCCTCTGCCTTCTCAGAAGCCACCTGTCATATTTTCCCTCCTCCCCGCCCCCCGCTGCCCCCTCCCTGCCCAGGGCACCTTAGGACGCGGCTGCCAGGCGAGGAGGAACATGGCAGATACACCGCTGAACTTGGCCCAGGCGTCGGGTGGCTGAGTCACATCTCAAATTGCCTCTTCATCGGTGCGTTTGGAAGGTCGTTTGCAGCGGCCCTCTGCAGGCCCCCGCCCCCTCTGGGTCCTGTCTGCCAGGCCACCCGCCTCTCCTGCCTGCCTGTGCTCCCCAGCCCAGGTGGAGACCTTCTGCACCTTCAGGGGACGTGGAAGGGCACCTGGGGTCTCTTTGCCCCCTGCCCTCGGGTGAAGGCAGGACGTAGGGTCAGGATGAGCTCCTGCCCACCTGGAAGGTGGTGGCCTCAGCGTAGAGAGCGGGGGTCCCAGAGTTTGTGTTGACAGAGAAACCAGGGCCGGGAGGGGCCGCTGAGCTGAGCCTGCCCGGCCGAGTGTGGGCGGAGGCAGGGATGGGGACAGGCTTTACGAGGTTGGCTGGCCACGAGGGGATGGCACCAGCATCTGGAGATACCTGGTGGAGGGGACAGACCCCTGTGGGGGCTGCTGGACGAGGGCACACGTGGAATGTGGTGGGTGGTGGGCAAGGCCGCCCTGTCTCCCCCTACAGTCGGGCTCATCTTGGTGTGTCCTGAGTTGATGGTCTCCATATCGGCCACCCCAGTGGGAGTGGGGACTGTGCCTATAGGCACAGCTGCTGCCCACCTCCCTGACCCAGGCCTGGCATCTAGAGGAGCTCCAGCCTGTGTCCCCTGAATCCCACCAGGCAGCCGAGGCAGAATCTGTCCCTTCATAGTGCTGTGCCTCGGGGTCTCCATCCCTAAGACTGGCCAAGCCCAGGATCCCCTTCTGGGGTATATGTGAGGGTGAGGGCAGACGTCTGCATGAAGATTGAGGCACGGCACATAGTAGATGCTCAATAAACCCTGGCCAGGTGGCCGCAGGGTGTGCCGGTGAGGGTGTGAGACAGCGGGCTGGCAGGGAGGGTTGGTCCTGGAACCTGCCGAGGCAGAGGGAGCTTCGGGGTCTCTGTGGCCACAGCCTTGGTCTCTGATGTGGCCCAGGCCTCACCTGAGCTGCGTAAACACACGCAGGCCTTTGGAAAGTCTGGGGCGAGGAGCCAAAGTCTCCATCTAGAAGTCTGGGGGGCTGACCTGGATCAGAACCACGTCCTCCCCATATGCTGCGTCTCTGCTCCCAGGCACCCCTGATGGCAGCGCCAGCTCGCAGCGTCCAGCGGGTGTTCACTGGGTGCCAGCTGCGTCCTTGGGGATGGAGACAGTCAGCAGGCAAGGGTCTGCTGTTTGGTGTCCCGGGCAGAGGGCACAGCCCCTGCAAAGGCTCAGAGCAGGACTTGCTGGGGTCATGCGGAGGCCGGCGTGGCTGGGAGGGAGTGAGCCTGGGGTGGGGTGGGCAGAAGGCTGAGCACAGAGGGCCTCTTGGCCGCAGTAAGGAGTTTGGTTTAGCAAATGACGGCGCTGGGCGGGGTGGGGGTGTCCAAGCCGAGAGGCCACAGGCTGACTTGATGTTTCTGGATGGTGACCCACATGTTGGCATTCTGAGCCTCCCGAGGTGGCCTGTGCCTTCCTTCGAATGTTCTGGAACGGTGGTGCTGATCCCTGCTCTTCTGGTCAGTCACCAAGGCCTTCCTGTGACTAAGTCCCTCTGCTCTCCGCAGGTCAGCGCAGGAGCCCAGCCACTGAGCCATGCCGGGCTCCGGGTGGCCTGCAGGGAGTCCAGCCCCGGCAGCCAGGTGGTCATGAACGGCCACAGCCACAATGGTAGTGTGGGGCGGCCGCTGGGCAGCGGGCCAGGTGTTCTGGGCCGAGACCCTCTGGACCCTGAAGCAGGCCGCCCCCTGCACCCCCCGCCCAGCCCCGGCCTCCAGGTGGTGGTGGCCAAGAGCGAGCCGTCCAGGCTCTCACCAGGCAGCCCCCGGGGGCAGCCCCAGGACCAGGAGGAGGAGGAGGAGGAGGAGGGGGAGGAGGAGGAGGAGGACAAAGCAGGCAGGCGGAGGGGCCCTGGGAAGACCCCGACTGTGGGCCACCGCCTGGGCCACCGCAGGGCCCTCTTTGAGAAGAGGAAACGGCTCAGTGACTACGCCCTCATCTTCGGCATGTTTGGCATCGTCGTCATGGTGACGGAGACCGAGCTGTCCTGGGGGGTGTACACCAAGGTAGGCACAGCCCCCGCCCAGGCACCTCAGGGCCCCCAGGGAGGCGGGCGGGGAATGCAGGGGACCCTGGGGCTCCCTGTGCCGCTCCAGCCCCTCCCTCTGCTGCTCCCCGGGTGAGCTGGCGAGGGGGACCCCAGGGAAGGCTGGGCTAGGCTCAGGCCACGCTCCCTCCCCGTCTAGAGTGGTCGCTGTGTCACCAGCCTGGCTCTGTGAGTCCTCTGTGTCACCAAGCGGGTGTGAGAACAGAGAGAAACCAGGGCTTGTCTGCCCAGTGACGGGGGCTGGAGGGAGCCAGGCCTGCAGACGGAGGTGCCAGTCCATGGCCCAGCAGGCCTCGCGACATCCCGGGGCCATAAGGGACCAGGCCTTATAAACACAGGACCCAAGTGAGACCAGGCCGGGACAGGCAGCTCAGGAGATGGAGGCTCAGCGGGCACCGGGGCGGCCATGGGGAGGAGCCCCCTCTGGCCAGCTGCTGTCCCCAGGGGCCTGGTGGGGTGGTGCCTGGGAGCCCCCCCAGCGCCCTCTCCCTCTCCCCAGGACTCGCTCTATTCGTTCGCCCTGAAATGCCTCATCAGCCTGTCCACCGCCATCCTGCTGGGCCTCGTGGTCCTCTACCACGCCCGGGAGATCCAGGTCAGTGCCTCCTCACCCTGGGCCCCAGAGTCCCCCGGTCAGCCCAGCTGGGGCCCCCGCTCCCCAGGACACACAGGACAAATAGTCTCCTTGGCAAAAACCAAAGTTCTCAATGGAGAGTCACCGCGTCGTCACCCCCTCCCTGCAACGCGTCTGCCTGCCTGTTGACTTTCATGGTGGAGAGGTGAAGGAGGGCGGAGCCAGGGGGCTGGGACACAGTGAGCTTCATGGCCCTGGTGGCCTCCTGGTGGCTTTCGCAGCCCTGGAAGCAGGCTCTGTTTCTATTGGGAGGCACCCGATGTCCTTCCCAATAGGAAGAGTCGCTGGGCCTGGCGCTGGCCTCCTGCTGTGGAGCCAGCTCAGGCCCCTCGGCGCCCGGTGGGCAGCACCGGCCTGGGCTCCTGCCCTCGCCTCAGACCCCTGAGCTCCAGGGCAGACTGGCAGAACGCGTGAGTGGGAAATCTCCATCTGTGCCATGTGCACGTGTCTCTGGGGGCTGGCTGTTGGGGACAGGTGTCTGTCAGTTCCTCCAATACAGCCAGCCCTGGGGATCCCTGCGGGATTGGTGCCAGGACCCCCACAGATACCCAAACCCCAGGACGCTCAAGTTCCTGCAGATGACCTCATTTGGACTCTAAATCATCTCTAGATGGCCGAGAACACTTAACACAACATAAACGTGCATGCGCTGTGTTGTTTAGGGAATCGTGACAAGAAAAAGAGTACAGATGGGATTTTTTTTTTCAAAATATTTTCAGTCCGTGGGTGGCTGACTGTGCGATATGGAACTCAGGTGTGGAGGGCGGATTCTAGCTAACCAGGAGGTTACCCTGGCCCCTAACAATCCCCCTCCTAGGTTCACCCCCCAAGAGAAACAAAAATCAACATCCACACAAATGTTTATAAGACCATCTTTCACAACAGACAGAAAGTAGAAACCATGTATGAATTTCCCTTAATGAAATCTCAGCGGCTCAGGAGGCCGAGGCAGGAGGATCAGGAGTTCAAAGCCAGCCTCAGCAACCTAGCAAGACCCTAAGCAACTCAGTGAGACCCTGTCTCTAAATAAATAAAATACAAAATAGGGCTGGAGATGGGACTCAGTGGTCAAGTGCCCCTGAGTTCAATCCCTAGTACCACTCCCCACACGCACCCCCCCACACACACACCAAGGTCCCTCAGTGAATGGATGGATAACCAAAATGAAACATAGAGCCTTTGTACAATAGAAAGGGTGCACCTCTGTATTGATGAGCCAGGGAGCCGGTGCAGAGACCCACACGGAGTGCCCTCAACACAGATGCACCCTCTGCCTGTCCTGGAGGCTGAAGGTTCAAGACCAAGGCCTCAGCAGGGCTGGCTCCTCCTTAGGTCTGTGGGGGCCACTCCAGGCCTCCTTCCTGGTTTCTGGTGCCCCTGCAGTCTCGGTACTCTTGGCTTGTGGATGCGTCACTGGTCTGGAAGCTCACATGCCATTTTCTCTGTGCGCATCTGTCTAACTGCCCCCTCCCTCTGGGCAGTACTGGGGAATCAAACCCAGGGCCTAGCGCCCTACCACTGAGCCACACCCCCAGTCTCCAATTTCCTCTCTTTCTAAGGTCATCAGTCTGTCTATCTTTCTGACTGTCTTTCTTGTGTTGTGGATGGAACCCAGGGCTTCACGTGTGCCAGGGAAGTACTCTTCCACTGAGCCACACCCCTGACTTGCTCCTGTTTGATTTTATTTATTTAATTTTATTATTATTATTTTTGGCACTGTTGGGAATTGAATCCAGTGTCCTGTGTATGCTAGGCATGTAGTGTACCACTGAGCCACATCCCCAGCCCTGTTTATATTTTTATTTTGAGACAGGGTCTCACTAAGTTGCTTAAGGCCTCGCTAAGTTGCTGAGGCTGGTCTCAAACTTGTGATCCTCCTGCCTCAGCCTCCCCAGTAGCTAGGATTGTAGGTGGGAACCACTGCATCCCACTAGATATTTTTTACTAAGGTAAAATTCATATAATATGACTGTAACCATTCTAAAGAGGAACAGTTCAGGGGCATTTGCAATGTTATGTAAACGTTACTTCTATCTAGTTCTAGAACATTTCCAAAATCCCAGAAGGAGACCCCATCCCCATCAGCAGTCACTCCCCACCCCCTCCCTGGCCCCTGGCAGCCATGCTCTCTGTCTCTGGATCCGCCCCCTCTGGACGTTTCATATAAATCAAACCTCACAATATTAATAAGTTAATCAAAATCTGTGTGAGTTCGGTGCGGCTGCTATAAGTAAAATACCACAAGTGGAATGGCCTAAACTACACAGATGGGTCTTCTCGCAGTTCTGGAGGCCACAAGTTCAAGATCAAGGGACCAGCAGGGGGTGGGTCCCTGGGCCCGCTCTTCTTGCCTTATAAATGGCCGTTCTGTCGCCATGTCCTCGTGTGGTTTCTCATGTGTTCACTGTCATCCCTGGTCTCCTCCTCTCCTGTCCACACACCGGTCTTGTTAGCGTAGGTCTTTGTGTGTTTTTGATCTTGTTCTGTTTTGGAACCAGGGATTGAACCAGGGCGCTTAACCACTGAGCCGCCTCCCCAGCCCTTTTTATTTTGTATTTAGAGACAGGGTCTCGCTGAGTTGCTTAGTGCCTCACTTTTGCTGAGGTTGGCTTTGAACTTGCGATCCTCCTTTCTCAGCCTCCCGAGCCTCTGAGGTGGCAGACGTGCCCGGCCCATGTGAAGTTCAGTTTGAATCTGGCCAGAGCTGAGAACTAGGGAGCGTCCTCTGAGGCCACGCTTCTGACTTTTCTTGGGAACCTGAGGCTGGGTTGGGTTTCCTAGCAAGGGCGTTCTTGGGGGTGGGACCTGGGTGCGAGTCCGGGACCCACCGTCCTCCTTGCGTCCGCTCTCGGCAGCTGTTCATGGTGGACAACGGCGCGGATGACTGGCGCATCGCCATGACCTGCGAGCGCGTCTTCCTCATCTCGCTGGAGCTCGCCGTGTGCGCCATCCACCCGGTGCCCGGCCACTACCGCTTCACGTGGACGGCGCGGCTGGCCTTCACGTACGCGCCGTCGGTGGCCGAGGCCGACGTGGACGTGCTGCTGTCCATCCCGATGTTCCTCCGCCTCTACCTGCTGGGCCGCGTGATGCTGCTGCACAGCAAGATCTTCACGGACGCCTCGAGCCGCAGCATCGGGGCGCTCAACAAGATCACCTTCAACACGCGCTTCGTCATGAAGACGCTCATGACCATCTGCCCGGGCACCGTGCTGCTCGTCTTCAGCATCTCCTCCTGGATCATCGCGGCCTGGACCGTGCGCGTGTGTGAGAGGTGCGCCCCAGGCCGCCAGGCCGAGCGGGAGGGCTGGGGACCCGGGCCTCGGTCCCCCCCCATCCACGGCTCCCGTGACCTTGGCTTCCACTCATCACCCTTCCCCAGAGCCCTGTGGTGCCCCCTGGCCCCATTTGTGGTCTCAATGCTCATTCCTGAGGACCTTCATCCCAGCTGTGGGGAGGGGGTGTCCTGGGCCACCCTTGGCTCCTCCCCCAACGTGGGCGGGGCTCCCGCTCTCCCCACCTCCCCTCCGCAGGCCTCCCGTGCTCCTCCGGGACCTCTGGCCAGGGTGGCAGAGGCAGCAGGACGCAGCGGGACAGGGACACCCCGCGCCCCTGTTCCCCTGCCCCCACGGTAACCAGCTTTCCTTCTCCCTCTGCCCGCCCTGCCGGACTGTAGGGAGAACATGTGAGTCCCGCCCTTGGCCGAGCTCAGCGCGCTCAGAGCTGCAGCCCCCGCGCGGCCCCGCTGCTGGGAATTTAAGATTAGCTGCCGACAACCGAGTGAGGGTCAGCGGGGCTGCCAGCGCTGCCCAGGGGAGCTGGGGGCACCCCCCGCTGGCTGGAGGCCATCTTCTCTGAGCCTGGGTCCTTGTCTCGCCTGAGGAAGGCGCTTGGAGAAGCGTCCTGTTTGGACGGCTCTGAAGCCCCCTCCTGAGTGCTTAGTGGGTTGGGGTCACCCGGCCTTCAGGGCTTCTGTGGGGTCTGGACAGCCCTGGATGGCGGCAGACCATCAGCCCAACTTACAGATGAAGAAACTGAGTCTCTGAGGGCAACAGGACTTGTCCTGGGCTTCCTTGTCCAAGAGGGGCTCGCCCTACCCCTCCTGCAGCCCCTCTCAGACCCGATGGCTAGTTCACAGTGGCCGGGGCCAGCTCCTCTGGGGATCGTCTGCCATCTGGGAGTCATTGCAGGGGTCTTCTTGGACCCCTGATGTGCCGGTGCCAGTCCCGGAGCCCATCCCCACCCATCAGGACAGGAGTGAGTCAGGAGTAGGTCTGGGGTGGCCCATGGTCAGGTGTCCCTGAGGTCCAAGTTGACTCCCTGCAGGCCTCTCCCCCAGGTGAGGTGGGGACGGGGCAGGGCCAAGGGCAGCCAATCCTAAATTCTGAGCCCAGCAATGATGCTTGCCCCCGCTGCTGGCCCCACCCCGCCTCCTGCATGCTCCTCGCCTCTGCCCCTGGGGTTCTCGGCAGCAGCCCCCCATGCTCCAGTGGGCGTGGCCTCATGCTCCAGTGGGCGTGGCCTCACCTGCCTCCGCCCCCACCCTCCTGGCTCCTGGGGCCGCGGTGCTGGTGGTCCCCCCTCACCCCCATTGAGGCTGGGGCAGTTTGGGACTCATGCCTCTGTGTAAGACGGGGTTCTGTCTCTGATCCCCCACCTCGTGAGCAGCCTAAGCCCAGACTGGAGGGGCCCTGAAAAGCATCCAAGCCTCGGCGGTTGGAGACCCCCAAACAGCTGATCAGGGGGCTCCATCCGCCCAGCTTCCCTTCGGGAGGCCTCCACCTCCTTCCCTCCCCCAGACCCCTGTCCCCAGGCTGTGTCCAGCACAACTGCTCCTTCCAAACCTCCCTGTGCCCCGCCGGCCTAGGGGTCCCCACCTCCCGTCTCCCCAGCCGGCTGCTGACTTTAATTGGGGGCAATTAATTCTGGAGGCTGGGAAGGCCGAGGTCAGCGCGGAAGGGCCCCTGACTCCCTGACAGCAGTCTTGTCGGTTGGAACTGGACATCCAGAGTTGTCCGGGAGGTGAAGGGTAGCAGACAGGCCTCCACGCTGCTCCAGACCCAGAGAACCAACCTCCAGCCCCTACCCTGAGTCGGCCACAGATGTGCCTCTGAACCCCTGTGGCTGGGGCCCCAGTCCTGGCTGAGACTGGGACAAAGTTGTGTCCTTTCTAAGTTCTTGGGGATTGTTCTCCTGGATACCGGACTATAGCCCCAGGCCTGTCCCCTGTGCCAAGTGACCTGCCCCCTTCTTCTCAAACCCAAGACCCCGGGTTTAGGCCTTGGTGCCTCCCCTGCGTATTGGCTTTCCTTCTCCTAAGTCCTGGGCTCCATCCGCTGGCCTGTCCAATAGTTCTCCTTCTCCGGGGCCTCGCCGGCTGAGGAAGTTCTTCCTGGTGTCTCACCTAAATCCTTGCCTTCACTCCTTGCTGCTTCTGGCACCCTCAGCCACCTGTGTCCCCGTGTGTGTGTCTGTTGGGAAAGGGATTGTGTGCACGTGTGTAGGTGCACCCTCACCTGGGCCCTTCTTTGTCCTGTCACCAGGGCTGGGGAGCAGCAGCTTGGGTGTCCGGCAAGGGGGAGGGTTGGGAGAGAGGGAGGGAAGGAGGCTGTGGGCGCCCTTGCCTCCTGCCCCCAGCAGAACCACGCCCCGGAGTGACCCACTCCCTGTGGCCGAGGTCAGGGCCTGGTGCAGCCGGTGGGCAAGGTGGGCAGGTGCCCTCAGTCCCGGCCCTGCCCCAGGGGTGTGACGGGCCGAGACATCACCGTGAACTGATGGCAGCCCCACCCCTGCTCCCCAGGTACCACGACAAGCAAGAAGTGACCAGCAACTTCCTGGGGGCCATGTGGCTCATCTCCATCACCTTCCTCTCCATTGGCTATGGTGACATGGTGCCCCACACCTACTGCGGGAAGGGCGTGTGCCTGCTCACCGGCATCATGGTGAGGGCCAGAGACACCCCACTTCAGCCCCGCCCTTGCCTCTGCCCTGCCCAGAGCCCCCCCTCCAGAGCCCTGAGGTCCTGCCAGCCCATTCCCTCTCCTGTCGTGTGACATCTGCACCCTCAGGCCTTGGGGTCTCTCAGTGGGCTCTTCCGGCTCTGGCTGAGTAGCTCCCTCCAGGAGCTGAGGTCCACTCTGAGCGGAGTATCATCTTTGCCCCCTTATTCTCTGTAGCCCAGTTTATTCATAGCCCTGGTTCGGGGCACGGAACCGGAGCCTTCGGGGCCTTGGTTTCCCAGCTTGTTCTGTGCCACTTTGTCCTCTTGCTACAAAAACTAGGCTCATTTATGCTTTGGAAGCCTGAATGCCCTGGGCAGCCCGTCAGTGTCTGGAGGTCACAGCCCCGCCCTGTCCCCATCCTTGGCGGGCTTCCAGAAGCCCAGGACCCTGTGTGGCTTCCCCACTGCGGCACGTCTGTGGACTCGGGCCAGCAGCCTCCCGCTCTCCTGGGCTTCTCAATCCGCCTTCGTGGGCGTGGGCGTCCTCTTTTCCCTGATTCCATCATCCGTTTCCTTTCTATCATCTCCTCCTTCTGGAACCTTCTTTTCCGCCAAGTGTCTTTCATCTCCTCCACAAGTGCTCTTCCTTCCTCCCGCCCCCGCCGCCGCCCCCTCCCTCTGTTCCCTTCCCTCCCGCTCTCCCCAGCCTCTCACCCCCTGCTGGCCGCCCGCCGGGAGCCCAGGCCTCGCTTCTGCTGCGAGCGGACTCGCCCCCCCCCCCAAACTGGCTGTACGCGCTTCTGGGGAGGGAGGGACGCGGTGTGGACGCTGCACTTCATCCTGGAGTCCAGGGGGAAAGCGGGAGACCGTGCCCCCTCCCCTCCCCAGGCAGCTGCAGCAGGAGGACTTCGAACCCAGGGGGGCCAGGATGAAGTGGAGAAGCCACGTTCCCTTAATGGGCGTGGCCGTCAGCGTAGCTCCTTCCAGAAAGTTCTGTGTCTACCCTGCAGCCTGCTCCCTGCCCTTGCCCCAATGCACATGGAACTGGTCACTCAGGTCTATATGGTGGACTTTTTGGATTTCGGTGGTGGGCACAGAACCCAGGGCCCTCCGCCCTTTCCATTCAGCCTTAGGGGTCACATGAAGCCACACCTGGACGTTTCAGCCAGGTCTTTTTCTCCCTCTTCTATCAACCCTCTCCCCCTTCCATCTTTACCCAAGCGCATCTCCTTGTGCTCGCTGCCTCACAGACTCCAATTTCCAGCACCATCTATGAGATTCTTGTTCTTAAACTTCAGGGCACCCCAGCCTGGCCTTCTGGAAGCTGACACTGATTGGCCAACATCATGTCTAGACTGTATCTGTGAAGCGCCCATGTGCTTCTACATGGATCCCTCAGTTGTCCTTTTTCCTGGCTGCATAGTGTTCCAGAGTTTCCCAGCAAATTGCTTTTTCCCTGTTGACAGAGATTTTCCTGAGAAGAGGCCTCTGCATCCTCTCTAGACCCTCATTCTGGCCCAGGTGGGAAGCCCCTGCTTCCCCTTTTGCCCACCCACCCAGGCTTGGCATGTTGGTATTCAAACCCATCCAGGACTTTTTTGATAATGTCCTGGCCCTTCCCCGCTCCTTCCCATAAATGTTTTTCCTTCTATCCCCAGAGAAACGTTCAGCCGTCCTGGCCCCCACCCTCAGGGTCCTTTCCCTGCTCCCAGCCTGTGACTGGGCAGTGGCAGAAGGAAGCAGCTGGTGGCTCAGTCATGGGTGCCTTCTGCCGCCTCAGCCCCCCACCACCACCTGCCTCCCTGCGCCTGCGACACCCCTGGGTGTCTGAGGTTCCCTGTCCCCTGCTTCTCGGTGGCAGAACTTGCCCCCCCATTCCTCTACTCCTGTGTCACTCTCCTCTGTCTCCCTCCCACCTTGGCCTTGCCCTTCCCCGTCTCCCTGGCTGCCCTGAGCAAGTAGGGGGGCCACAAGCAAGTCCCCAACCGCCACAGGGGAGCTCCCATTCTTCCTGGGCCCCCTCTGCCTTTCCCCTCCCGCAAATGCCCTGAGCCCCAGCCTGACCTTCTGACCCTGTTTGGTGGCTCTGTGTATGTCGGCTCGTCTCCTGTCCAAGACCCCGAAGCCTTGAACAAAATCTTCCAAATCCTCCTGCTGCTGTGGGCGTGGCTGTGGGCGTGGCCTGCAGGTCTGTTTCTTGCTCCTTTCTCCTCTGAGTCTCAGTCCCCCTCTGCCTGGAGGGGAGAAGAATGCGTGGCTGGGGACTGAACGAGCTCTTCGAGCTCTTCGTGGGCTCCGGAGGCCGCCTGGGCTCCCAGAGGGGAATCTACCACCCTCTCGGGTTTGGCGCCGCCCAGCAGGGGTGGAACAGGGCAGGCCTCCTGAGGAGGAGGCGACCTTGGGGCTGGAGGCTGATGTGCCCCTCGCTCTGCCTGCAGGGGGCTGGCTGCACGGCGCTCGTGGTGGCGGTGGTGGCCCGGAAGCTGGAGCTCACTAAGGCTGAAAAGCACGTGCATAATTTCATGATGGACACTCAGCTCACCAAGCGGGTGAGGACCCCAGCCCTGGACACGGCCTCCTTTCCTGCTCGCCTTTCCCCGCACCAGCGGGCGCGCCTAGGCACCCTTGAGTCACCGCCCTGCCTGGGTCAGACTGCGAGCCCTGCCCGCAGTGCGCACGATTACACGCTGTGCACAGACCCAGCCGGCGGCCTGGGGAGCCACCCTCGTGCCCAGCCAGGCCAGACAGGGAAGCACGGATCCTGGGACCCCGCCTCTGGTGCCATGTGCGTGCTCTCTGACCTGGCCAGGTTGCAGATTGACCTTCTGTGCCTCAGTGTCCCCCTACAGAGAATGAGGGCGGCCTCAGCCAGGCATGGTGGCGCATGCCCGAAATTCCAGCTACTCGAGAGGCTGAGGCAGGAGGATTGCTGGTCACTGTAGTGAGACCCTGTTTCAAAATATAAATGAAAAAGAGCTGGGGACATGTCTCCCTGGTAGAGGGCCCTGGGTTCAACCCCTCGTATGAAAAATGTCAAGGCGATATCAAAACGGGCGGATGCACTGTGCTGAGGTTCCCACTCGCACAGCCCCGCCTGACATTCCAGGGACTCCAGTCCTGGGGGGGGGGTTCCTGGGGGTTTCTAGAACCTTCCCTGGTTTTCTACCTACTCTGAAAAACTTCTTTTTCTGACCCCAGGTAAAAAATGCCGCTGCTAATGTTCTCAGGGAGACGTGGCTCATCTACAAACACACCAGGCTGGTGAAGAAGCCAGACCAAGCCCGGGTTCGGAAACACCAGCGTAAGTTCCTCCAAGCCATCCATCAGTAAGTCCAGCAACTTTCCCGCTCATGTTTCCCAGGCTGCCGGGCCTAGAGGCAGCTGTGGCCCCCAGGAGGGGGCCAAGGGCCAGGCCAGGCAGCTCACCGTGGCCTCATCATGGGTCCCCTCCACGCCAAGTGGTCAGTTGGTTGGGACCTGCCATTCCTGTGCTGGGGAGGATAAGAAGATGGGGGGGGGTGGCAAGCGACCGGCCAGGCACCAGCCACCACAGTTGCCTCAGATGAGTCACAGAAGCCACCCAAAATAAGTGGAGGAAGCAGACTTTATTCTCTGGGATAACAAGAATGGTTGAATGTTTTGGCTTTGAAACTATTTTCCCTTTTTGCTTTGCCTCCCAGGAAGCTTGGAATGAAATGTGTGATCCGATCTGTGAGGTTGTGTGGCGTAATTAGAAACTACTTGATTACTTCTGTTGTCCCTTGGCCTCAGGAATTATTTAATCAAGTGGGTTTCATCCTTGGCCACTCATTAGAGTCACTTAGGGAGCTTAAAAAAAAGCTCACAGACCACTTCCAATAGCAGTTACTGGATGTCCTGGGTGCAGCATGAACTTCAGTTCCTCAGGTGGATCTGAAATGTCGCCAGGAAGGGTGTTTTTCCAAGTAAAGGGACAAGTAGTAAATATTTCAGGCCATGGGGCCAGATGGTCTCTGTCCTGATGTTCAGTTCTGCTGAACAGGGAAGCTGAGTGTTTCGGAGAAAGCTTTACTTTCTGGGACAGAAGAACACGTGAACAACAGTGCGATTTCCACTTCCAAAGAAAGTAAAAGAAACGATGAAGTCAATGTTGTTTGTTTGTTTATTTTTACTTTTTGGTTCTGGGGATTGGACCCAAGGGCACTGAGCCACATCCCCAGGCCTTTTTTTTTTTATTGAGAGACAGTCTCACTAAGTTGTTGAGGCTGGCCTCAAGCTGGCGATCCTTTTGCCTCAGCCTCCCAAGTTGCTGGGATCATAGGTGTGTACCACCACGCCTGGCTTTTTCATATTTTCAAAATCTTGACAGAAATAATTGTTCAGACTTACGGGGTACAGTGTGATGTTTCCATGCCTGTGTGTATGTGTGAAGACCAGGTCAAGGTAATTGTTATATCCATCTCTTCGAGTGGTTTTCATTTCCTCGTGAGCCTGGTGGTCCACATCTGTGGTCCCAAGCTGCTCGGGAGGATCACTCGAGCCCAGGAGTTCAAGGCCAGCCTGGGTGACATGGCAAGACCCTGTCTCAAAGTATATGTTATTTACTTGTGTTGTGACTAGCTATGTTGACACATCACAATTAGAGGTTGTCAGCCAGTTGCCCTCCAGTGCCCCTGAATATTAGAAGTCATTCCTCCTATACCCTCCCGTGCTGGGGATCAAACCCATTAAGTATCCTCTATCCCTCCCCTCCCCCCCCCCAGTTTTGTTGGTTTTAAAATATGTATACTATCGCCATGACACTATCACCACAGCCAAGATATGAACATATCTGTCACCCTAAAGACTTCCTCATGCCTTTTACATCCCTGTCTTTTTTTTGGGGGGGAGGGGTGAGGTCAGGGGGGTGCCCAAACCCAGGATGTCCTTGTTTTTTAACTAGACAGTTTAGTCCGTTTACATTTATTGTGTTTACTGTTATCATTGGACTGATTTCTGATGGCAGCAGCCCCTTATCACATGACTGTGGTAAGACTCTTGTTTTTGTTTCTGTTTGAGACAGGGTCTTGCTATGTTGTCCAGCTGGCCTTGAACTCCTAGACTCAAGGAATCCTCCTTCCTCAGTCTTCTGAGTAGATGGGACGACAGGCTCGGGGCACAGCACTTGGCTACCATGGGAGGGGTTTTTGTTTGTTTATTTTGCTTTGTTTTTCCGTGGTGCTGGGGATGGAACCCAGGGCCTCGTGCATGCTAGACAAGTGCTCCTCAACTGAGCTCCCCCAGCCCCTCCCCTTTCTGTAAGGACACTGGTCACAATGGATTAGGGCCACCCTAATGACCTTATCTTTGCTGAGGACACGTGCAAAGACCCTATTTCCTATTTGGTCACATTTTAAGGTACTGGGAGTGGGGGTAATTTGGGGGAGAACATGGTTCACCCTAAACAGGGCAGTTCAGAGAAGCCAAGGATACTATTCCCAGTGCAAGGCTGTCTGGGTTTCCTGGCGGCCTCCTGCTGTTCCTGGGGCTCCCCAGCACCCAGCCCTGAACTCTGGGGCTGGGGGTGACTTTCCATCTCTGCTTCTCTGGACTGGGGCTCCCTGGGCGTCTCCTGCCGGGGGCCCTACGAAGGCTGAGCTTGGAGTGCTGGGTCTGGGGTGTGGGGAGGTGAGTGCTCCCTGACGTGGTGCCCTGGGCTGACCAGCACAGAAGGGACCGTGGGGACAGGAGAGCACACACATCGGCTGCCCCCACAGGCAGGTGTCCAGGGGCCGAGGGCATAGAGAACAAGGGGCAGTTATGGGTTCAAATCCTGCTGGGGTGCCTGCCGCTGGGCAGTGGCTGTGCCCCTCATACCTCAGCTTTTCTGGGTGAAACGCCATCTGCAGGGTCCGGGCCGATGTGCCCAGCGAGGCCGCTTGGCCAGGACCGTGTGGACACTGCTGAGGGGAGGGACCGAGGACAGGCACCTGCCTGGGGGCTGGCCCTGAGCCTTCAAGGCTGGGCCCCTCCTGCAGAGCAACAGCAGCCCCTCTGCCACGGGACCCCCAGCTTGGCCCTGGGTGGGGTGCGGGGCCGGGCGGGGTCGGGCGCGGGCGGCTCAGCTGGGCTGACAGTAAAATTGCCTCGTGGTTTCCTCCTGCTCTGCCGGTCCTGCCAGGGCTCAAAAGTAAGTCACCCATGGGGCTCGGGGTGGCAGGAGCCTGGGGTGTGTGGTGGCGATGGGCACCCGCGGGGCATGCCAACCCCCACCTCAGAGGCAGGCAGGGTGCATGTCTGTCCCATGGGTTGGTGTGAAGATTCACCTGGGTCTCGGGACTGTTCTGATTGGGGCCAGTCCTGCAGACACCTCAGCCAGTGGCCACAGCATGGGAACTGAGCTGCCCTCCGCCCTGCAGACCCGATGCATGTCCCAAACGCCACTGCGGGTGGGCGCATGAAGGATCCCATTCCCACGGCAGCTGCCACCTGTCCCCACTCACCCTCCTGTGTCTCCCCAGGCTCCGCAGTGTGAAGATTGAACAAGGGAAGCTGAATGACCAGGCCAACACGCTGGCCGAGCTGGCCAAGGTGAGCGGGCGGGGCAGGATGCGGGCAGAGGAGGACTGGAGGGACAGGTGCTGGCCGGGGACCAGGGTCCTCTGTAGCCCTGATGTAAGAGAGACACTAGGCATCTACCTCTGCGTGTGGCATCTTTACCTGTTGACACTGGCATCTGGATTTATTTTAAAAGACTGATGTGTCTGGCGGGGGGGGTGGGGGGTGACTGGAGTCCCTGCCCCTCGGAGGCTGAGGCAGGAGGATCACTTGAGCTCAGGAGTTTGAGGCCAGCCTGGGCAACAAAGCAGGAAACCTGTCTCAAATACTAATATGATTACTTTAAAAATTATTTTTAATTGGAACTCATGGCCTTGCGCCAGGTGAGCGGGGGCTCTGCCCGTGAGCCTCACCGCAGCCTTGAAATTTGGATTTTTAAAAAATATTTATTTTTTAGCTGTAGATGGACACAACACAATGCCTTTATTTTTATGTGGTGCCGAGGATCACACCCGGGTCCCGCCCGTGCTAGGCGAGCGCTCTACCACTGAGCCACAATCCCAGCCCCTGAAATTTGGATTTTAAAAGATTGACCCACCCTTTCATCATACGCTCCTCACAAAAATACATTTAACAAAACCTTCTTTGAAATAAGTCTTTCACCAGATTGGATTATATGAGTTTCTAATTTTAAAAATAATAATAAAAGTTAAAATATTCTTCAATTTTTGGTCAGTACGTTTTGGTTTGGTTTGGTCTTGGAACGGGGCTCTCACCTGTTGACCAGGCAGGTCTTGAACACCTGAGCTCAGGTGATCCTCCTGCTTCAGGGGGAGCTGGGGCCACAGGCGCCGGCTCGATATTAAATTTGAATGGTCTCCAAGATTTCTGGCTAATGGAAAAATAAAATGTAAATTCTAAATTTAAGGGGGTTGACTCTGAGGTTTACTGTCCTCAGAGAGCCCAAAAGATCCGTCCATGGCTGGATGCCGCTTCAGGCGCCAGCAGATGTCACCCTCTCACCCAGGGGTGGTGGCAGTGGAGGGGGACCCATGGGGGACAAGCTTCCTAGGGATCAGGTCCCGACCTCCTCTGTGTGCTGCCTGGGGAGTCCTCAGATCTCTACTGTGACCTGGCCCCGTCAGTCAGAGTCACAGAGCGAGGTTCTGGCGCCACCTGTCGGCCAGAGCGGCATCTGCGCCAGGGACTGTCCCTGGGGTCGTCTCCTGCCCATGTGAACAGGAGCGCCTTTCTGGGTTGTGGGGAAGCTTCAGGGGTGACGGGGACACCCCACCAGCTGCTGAAACAGTGATTGTTCCAGTGACACGTCCCTGATCTGTGATCCTTAGACTAGTCCCCCATCTCATCAGGCCCCGCCCCCTCCCCAGCTCAGTGTGGAGCAGGAACCCTCAGACCCTGGCCCTGAGCCTCCCCTGTCCCCAGCCCAGCGCCTCCTCCAGGTCTGGGAGCCCCCGCTGAAGTCCCCTGTGGCTACATATGTCCAGGTCACCCCCAGGGCACCTCCGGCTGCGGCCACCCTTCCTGGGCCCTCCAGGTCCCCTGGCCCTGAGCCTGGCATTCGTGCCCATCCCCCACCGCCCCCTCAGCTGCAGCCCCAGGTCGCCCATGCTGGGTCCCCGCTGCCCTGTGCCCGTCCCTCCTCCACCCGCTCAGCTCCCCTCTCTCCGGCAGACCCAGAGCGTCATGTATGACCTGGTGTCCGAGCTGCACGCCCAGCAGGAGGAACTCGAGGTCCGCCTGGCCGCCCTGGAGAGCCGCCTGGACGCGCTGGGCACCTCCCTGCAGGCCCTGCCCGGCCTCGTCGCCCAAGCCATACGCCCGCCGCCCCCGCCGCCGCCGCCCCGGCCCGGCCCCGGCCCCCCGGACCAGGCAGCCCAGAGCCCGCCGCGCCGGTGGCCGCCCGTGGCCCCCTCAGACTGCGGGTGACGGCTCTGCCCGCCACCGGACCCCTAAATCTTGGCCATCGTGTGGCCGCCGTCCCCACGCCGTCCAGGAAGCCCTGTACAGTGTCGCCTCTTGGGGTTCAAGAAGCCGAAGCTGAGTTGGGCTCGAGGACCGGGCGTCCCCACTGCCGGAGGAGGGCGGGGCGGGCGCCCAGCAGACAGGGGAGCCCGGAGCGTCCCCTGGTCACTGGCCCCTCGACTCGCCCGCGCCCCCGGAGGGTGTGGAGCAGCCGGGGAGGGTCCTTGCCGACTCTGAATAAAGCAGGACTCACCACATCGCGGCCTGTCGTGGTGGCTGGGGCCCCTGGTCGCACACCACCGGAGCAGTGCTCAGGCTGGAGGCCCCCAGGCAGGCAGGGGTGAGGACAGCCATTCCCTGACTGTCCTGTCCTAGTGTCTTCTGAGCTCCACTGGGGACAGCTCCTTGGTGACATCCATGCCTACCCCACCTTGGATGCATAGAACCACGGGTCACCATCCAGGGAGGCAGGTGACATGGGTGAAGCGGGTATTCAGTTTTCATAGGACACACATTGAGCACCCGCTATATACATTGAATACCATGTAAATGACCACAGTGACGTCACCAGAACTTGACCAGGACGGGAGGGGAAGCTGAGGCTCAGAGAGGCCATGGGGCCAGGATTGCAGCTGGGAGCCTGTGGGACAGGGGGCAAGCACCGGGGGTGGCGGGTACTCTGGGGAAGCCACAGGAGGGAGGTCTGAGTGGGGGCAGGAGTGTGGGTGGACTGATGGGCAGGGTTCCAGACGCAATCAGAACCAAAGGCCCCTCCAGGCTTTGGGTTTTGGGTGCTGTCTCTGGCGAGGCCACGGACGTGGCAGATGCTAGCCCAGGGGGTGGGGCGGGTGGGGGAACCAAGGCCCCTGGCAGCTTCTGATAAGGCCATCAGCGCCTGGCCCCAGGAGATAGGCCAGCCCTGATAGGTTCGAAGAGGGCAGCTCAGACCCAAGAACAAGATGGGTCTGGGGAGGTGCCAGGGACACTATTTTTTTTTAATTTTTTTTTGGTACTGGGGATTGAACTCAGGGGCACTTGACCACTGAGCCACACCCCAGCCCTATTTTGTATTTTATTTAGAGTCGGGGTCTCACCCAGTTGCTTAGGGCCTCACTACTGCTTGAGGCTGGCTTTGAACTCACAATCCTCCTGTGTCAGCCTCCCAAACTGCTGGGATTCTAGGCGTCTGCCACCACACCAGGCCAGAGGACACTATTGAGACCTGGGTTCCAGTTGCCGTAGGGGTGCCTCTGAGCAATGGCTGTCCCTCTGGGGTCTTCTGTAAGATGGAGGTAGCAGTAGATTTAACCAGAACTTGCTAAAGGCTGAGGCCTTGCTTAAGGCCTCCACTTTGTCTCCTGAAGGCCTCATGGGAACCAGAGGGGCTGCAAAGCATCCACCGCCGGTCCTAGGCTTCATAGCAGCCCTGTTAGCTGGTTTGGGAAACAGTCCTGGAGGGAAGCGGTTGTCCCCTCTTGTGCCCAGTCTTAGCTCCTGGGCCTCTGGGGAGAGCAGGGCGGGTGCCCACCCTTGGGGAGCACCGGGTCTGGTGGAAGAGGAGAGGTAAACACCAGCCAAACCCGCGGCCAGAGGTGTAAACAGGTCAGAGGTGCTGGGGACTGCGGAGATGACATCTGGGTGTGGGAGGGGTGGGTGGGAGAGGGGATCTGGCGTTGAACCAGCCGGTGCAAAGGCCACGGGGCAAGATTTGAGCTTGGAGTGTTTGGGGGACAGCCAAGAGGTGACAGGGAGAGGGCGTGTGGGGGGAGCAGGCGGGGCGGCGGTTCTGACTCATCGTTGCCGACCCTGCAAAAACACGGCCCGCCACACTCTGGGGGGTGGCAAAGTCCACAGGCAGACACTGGGCGGCACGTCCTCGGCAGCTGCCGGGGCGCGTCACTGGGGCGGAGGCGGGGGACCAGGAAGTTCGCTGACGACGAGCCCTCCCACGGCCCGCGGCGCCGGTAGAAGTTAACAGACGCAAAAGAAGGCGCCCGGGACGCCCGCGGACCCCGGAGACCCGCCGCGTGTCCCCGCCGGGCGCCCGGGCACCGTCCGGCCGCACGCCCCGGCCCGCACCATGCGCCTGGGCGGCGTGCGCAGCTTCGCCCTGGAGCTGGCGCGAGGCCCGGGCTGTGCGTACCGCGGCGGGGAGCGGCTGTGCGGCCGGGTGCTGCTGGAGGTGGCCGCGCCGCTGCGTGTGCGGGCGCTCGTGGTGGCGGCGCGAGGCGGGGCGGCCACGCACTGGCTGGAAGGGCGCAGCGTGGGCGTCAACGCCGTGTCCAGCGACTACGCGGCCGCCGAGACGTATCTGCGGCGGCGGCAGCTGCTACTCAGAGGTGAGACACCGTCTGCACCCCACGCCGGCAGGATCCCCCGGCAGGGACCTGTCCCCAGGCCTGGCGCCCCTCTCCAGGGTCCAGAGCCTTCTGACTTAGGCGATCTGGACGGGGTGATACTTCTCAAAGAGTAGGGACCCCTCCCCAGGAGCCGAACCTTCCCTCTGGGACACCCACGCTCCTTGGACCAGACAGAACCTCTTCTCCTGGGACCTCCTGCCAGGTTCTGGGTGTCCCTTATTCCAGGCCTGGGTGCCCTTGACTTACAGGTTATGCGGTGAGGAGACTTCCCTCTCAAAGCAAGGGGACCTCAACCCTGACTAGGGTCTGGGGAACCCCTGCACTTAGGGTCCTCGATTCTCAAAAGAAGTCCCCCTCTCACGTGCCCCCTGCCTCAGTTTACCCTGCGGTGTCTGCTGCTGTGGGCTGTTCCCGAGGGTGGGGGTATCTGGTGGTGTTTGTGGGCACCAGGGTGTAGATGCCTCTGGGGTGAAGGGAGTCGGGGTGGGGTCACATCAACTGAGAGTCTTGGGTCTCTGGCGTGTCCTTACTGCGTTCTGAATCTCAGTCCACCCCCACGGCCACACACCTGTAAGGAGCGGGCCAGGGCTACAGAAGGAGGGAGTTTGCCCCCAGCGTCATGCGGTGTGACTGCAGGAGAAATGTTGGCCTCTCTGGGCTGCTCCTGGCAAAGCCAGATCTCACTTATACCAGTCTGCGAAATTGGCGAGGCCAGGTGCAAGTGCGACAGCCCCCAACAGTACTGCGTAAAACAGATGCTTTGCCAATAGCTCCCAGGCGCCAGGGTCCCCGGCCACCGCACTCCCCACCCCCACCCCGCTCAACTACCGTGGAAACCGAGACGGGTAGCGCGGTGGGGCGGGGCAGGAAGGGGCCCACGAGGCACTTCCCTTCCCCAGGGGCTCATGTCGGAGCCACTTTTACCCCTCAGTGCCCACCTGGCCCCAGACATTCGTTGAGGCTTCCTTAAAACACTGGAGGGTGACGCTGGCGGAACTACTGTGACCTCAAGCGAGGGTCCCCCTGCCTCTGAGCCTCTGGGGGCTCCTCTGTGAAACGGGCTGAGTAGGAGCCTCCGGTTGCCTCAGAGTAACCTCATCTCCTGCCTCGCCCTGAGCTCGTGGCCTCCAAGCTTCACCCTGTGAAGGGGCCGCTCCTCCACTCAGCCGGCGTCGCTTCCTCCAGGCAGCCCCCGGGGCACGCTGATCCTGCGCCTCCTGCCCCTTACCGGCTCCGACCCGCAGGACCGATAGCGAGGGGCGGGGCCTTGTTTATGGCCGCCCCCTACTGGTGGGCTGAAGACTCTGTCGCCCCAGCGACAAAAATGGGAAGGCTGAGTAAGAGGTGGGTCCGAACAGCGGCGGGTCCTGCTGCCACCAGAGGGCGCCAGCGCGCCGCAGGCTGCACGGAAACGATTCCCGCGGGCGAATGCCCCGTGAGGCTCTTCTCTGGGGAAACTGAGGCCTAGAAGGGTCACGCCGGCCCGGGAGCACCCTGCAGTCCTGCACCCGAGGGTGCCTGAGTGTGCCCCGTACTTGGCTCTTTCCTTTGGGGTGTGGGGGCTGGGGACGCTTGGATCAGGCCTAGGGACTCGGGGCGAGTAGTTTGCCAGAAGCCGGAAGTCGGGAAGGGAAGCTTAGGCAGAAGCACCGAGGCGCGGCCGGGAGTCTCGGGAGCCTGTTGGTGAGCTGGGCGCGAGGCGCTCGGAGGAATCGAGCTGGGGCTGCGCGACCCTCCAAGGCCTCCCGGCTCTACAGAAGTGGAAACTGAGGCACCAAGAGGCTGACCCTTGACATGTGGTCACGTGGCTGAGCGGGGCTCCTGAGGAGGGAGGCCCCTCCTCTTCCTTCCCCCTCCCGCTTTGCGCTGCAGGACTGAGACCGGCCCCCTGCCCAGCTCGAACTGGGGTCGGGCCCGCTTCCCAGCTCTGACTAGACGTGTCTCCAGTCACGTCTGCAAGTGGCAGCCAGGTGATGATTAAGCCGAGAGGGAGACTGCTTTGCTAGTTGATCTCGGGCCTGGGTCTCCGCCTCTGAGCCTCGGTTTCCCTTCCTTATTCTCGGGACCCTCTAGAGACTGGCTTCGGAGGCTTCGTGCTTCATTGTCCCCGCCCCGCCACCGCCGGTCCGCGAGCTTAGAGCGCGACGGCGCTGAACAGGGGCGTTTGTTATTTTGCTCCACGCCTGGGCGAAGCCACGCCCCTCTCGCCACGCTATTGGTGGATCCCTTTTCGGGGGGAGAGGCTTACATCTCAGGCTCCACCTCCGTCCTGCCGTATAAAAGCGGCGCCGCCGGCTGACGGCGCGGGGTTTCTGGCCCGCTCGGCGACTGCGCGTGCGTGCGCGGTGAGAGTTTGCGTCTGGAGACTGCAGCGTCTTTAGCTCGCGTTCCGCGTCGCGGGTTCGAGGCCAGGGTCCGCGCGTGGTGGGTTCGCGCCCCGGGGCGTGATGCTGTTTGACAAGGTGAAGGCGTTCGCGGTGCAGCTGGACGGCGCGACCGCGGGCGCTGAGCCGGTGTTCAGCGGCGGCCAGGTCGTAGCGGGCCGGGTGCTGCTGGAGCTGGCGGGCGCGGCGCGCGTGGGCACCCTGAAACTGCGCGCGCGAGGCCGCGCACACGTGCACTGGACCGAGTCCCGCAGCGCGGGCTCCAGCACCGCGTACACGCAGAGCTACAGCGAGCGCGTGGAGGTCGTGAGCCACCGCGCCACGCTGCTCACCCCAGGTACCCGCTGGGACCCCACGCCCACCCCGGCCGGCGGCAGGACATCCGGGATCCCGCGTAGCCGCTGAGCCACCCTCTTGCTTGTACCTACAGACACCGGAGAGACCACGACCCTGCCTGCTGGGTGTCACGAGTTCCCGTTCAGCTTCCAGCTGCCTCTGTAAGCCCCCTGCCTGGGGCCGCCCCTGCCCCGGTGTGACTCCGCTGGGTGGCCGGGGACCCAGGAGCACCAAGATTGCCCTTGCCTCCAGGGGACCCCCAGGATATCTCTCTGCCCCTAAGCCTTTGTGTCTGCGTACTCCTCCCCTGAATCCCCTTCCCTCTACCCCCAGGACCCTGGTGACATCCTTTGAGGGAAAACATGGCAGTGTCCGATACTGCATCAAGGCCACCCTGCACCGCCCCTGGGTCCCAGCACGCAGGACCAGGAAGGTGTTCACTGTCATTGAGCCCGTGGACATCAATACACCTGCCCTGCTGGTGAGCCACTACCCTGTGGGAGGAAAGCAGGGAGCATGGTAGGCAGGGGCTGGGGGACCCTGGCTGGCTGCTTTCACCCTTCACCAAGCAGGGCTCTCGGTGGACCCTGGAAGGGAGTGGAGTGAGCTAGAGTCCACTGGAGCTGAGGACAAATCCCGCTGTGCCAGTTTGCTCTGTGGCTCTGGGAGAGTGTCTTGCCCTCTCTGAACCTCAGATGCCAGGTCTTTGAAATGCCCGGCAGCCAGGGCTGGTGATTGCAGGGCTCACTAGGCACTAACCACACGCCTGTGCTGGCCTGTTCCTTTCATTTTTCGTTTTATGAGCCCTGTTCCTTGTTCCATGTTAAAAGATGGTTCCTGGGTTATTATAAAGGAACCAGACCCTGCCCCAGGTTCTGTCCCTCGGCTGAGGGTGCTTGGAGGCTCCCCAGGGGTCTGGTTTATACAGATGACCCATTCATGTCCCTTTTCTCCACCTGGGCAGGCACCTCAAGCAGGAGCTCGGGAAAAGGTGGCCCGATCCTGGTACTATAACCGCGGCCTCGTCTCCCTCTCTGCCAAGATCGACCGCAAGGGCTACACTCCAGGTGGTGGCTGGGGTGGGCGGGCGGGGGGGCCGGAGCCCGGGTCGTGCCTGGCCTGTGATCGGGGACTGAGGCCGTGCTCCCGGCGCAGGAGAGGTGATCCCCGTCTTCGCTGAGATCGACAACGGCTGCACGAGGCCCGTGCTGCCCCGGGCGGCTGTGGTGCAGACGCAGACGTTCATGGCCAGAGGCGCCCAAAAGCAGAAGCGATCGGTGGTGGCCAGTGTGGCGGGCGAGCCCGTGGGCCCCGGGCGGCGGGTGCTGTGGCAGGGCCAGGCGCTGCGCATCCCGCCCGTGGGCCCCTCTATCCTGCACTGCCGTGTGCTGCACGTCGGCTACTCCCTCAAGGTACAGACCCCTGGGCCCCGGGGGCAGGTGGCTCTGCCTCAGTCCCCACCCCCAGGCTGAAGCTGGGGTCTCACTGGCCGGCATGGGGTGCCCGGTGCGGTGGTCGGGACCTGTGTCCTCTGCGGGAGGGAACAGGTGGCCTGGGACCCTCCCTCATGGCTCTGCTCCCTCCAGGTTTGCGTGGACATCCCAGGCACGTCCAAGCTGCTTTTGGAACTGCCGCTGGTCATTGGCACTGTCCCCCTGCACCCCTTTGGTAGCCGCTCATCCAGCGTGGGCAGCCACGCCAGCTTCCTGATGGACTGGGGGCTGGCGGCCCTGCCCGAGCGCCCCGAGGGTGAGTCCCGCCCTGTTAAGAAGGCAGCAGGGCACACGCAGGTCCCCTCCCTCCCGCAGTCGCCCTGTGCCCACACTCAAAGGTCACAGTAATAGTTGCGTTGGTGGCCAGGCACGGTGGCACACACCTGTCATCCCAGAGGCTCTGGAGGACAGGCAGGAGGGTCGCAAGAGCCAGGCCAGCCTGGGCAACCGGGGGGACCTGCTTCCCAACCAGAGGCTGCGGGTGGGGCGCCCGGCGCAGAGGCCCTGGGTTCCATCCCCAGCACCAAAAAGAAAAGCGTCCCATGGTGGCCCCGATCCCAGGAATCCCAGCCTGAGGGCTCCCTGCCGGCCCTGCTCACCCTTCTGTCCCCTGTTCCCAGCCCCTCCCGAATACTCAGCGGTGGTCACCGAAGAAGAGGTGGCAGCCACCTCGCAGAGCCCCTTCCCGCCGCTTCCCGACCCCAGGCTGAGCCTGGAGGGGCCCTACTTCGCCTGCATCCAGGAGTTCCGCTTCCGGCCGCCCCCCCTGTACTCGGAGGTGAGCGGGGTCCCAGGAGCCCCGGGTGCCTTGCCAGCCCTGGGGACCTTGTGGGTGGAGGCAGCAGGCGAGGGCTCCCCCTGGTGGCGGGGCTCCTCACCCCGTCTGCCCAGGGACCTCCCCTGCCTTCCCCTGGCCTCACGGGCACCCTTCTCCCAGGAGGACCCAAACCCCCCTTCGGAGGCCATGAGGCCACGCTGCATGACCTGCTGAGCGGCACGGGGACACCTGGAGGGGCGCGCTTGCCCACAGATCTCCCGCCACCGCGACCACGGGGAACGGCTGGACCAAGAGCTCAGGAGCCCAAAGTTGAGGAAACTGAGTCTTGGGGCAGGGCCAGGCTGTCCCACTGTCCCACAGGACGGAGGAGGAGCCAGGCTGGGACCTGACGTGTGTGGACCAGCCATCCCAAAGCATCGGCACCAGCACCGGACCCAGGGGACTGTTGGGCCCCCATGTGCCTGGCCTATGAGTGGTGCCAGGTCTCCCAGGAGCCTCTAGTCTTAGGGAGCCAGAGCCAGACATGGACACTTCCCATCTCGTGAAGTCAGAGGGGACCCAGGGCTGGGGGCATCCAGAGAGGCAGCGGGGGAGGCGTGGCTGGCCGAGGCTTTGGAGGACAAAGAGGAACTCAGCAGGCGGGCGAGCGGGAAGGGGAAGTTGGAGAAGGTCAGCGCTGAGTGGCATCTGGGGGCCACCACCTTCAGCTTTCGAATGGGGCTGAGAGGGGAGGCGTCTTCATGGGCTGAGGGGCCTGGCAGGCAAGAAAGAGGGCCCAGGAGCAAGGCGTTCAGGAAATCAGGTCACTGGAGCGACGTGGGGCAGCAGAGGTCCCTGGCTCAGGCTGGACAGCCTGGGAGTTCCTCCAAGTGCCCCAGGACATAGGAGCTGCCTGGTGATCTAGGGCCCGGGACTCAGGTTCAGGGAGGGGCGGGCAGGAGCAGCCAGGCTACTTACTAAATGGACATCAGGCCTTGCTCACGGGCGACTTAGGACTTCAAGACAGTGACAACAGCATTAAAGCAGGCCCTGGGGACTCAAGTCAGCCTAGGGTGACATATCAGGGACCATTGTGCTTCAGGAGGCCCCCCCTGGGGGGGTTGAAGGGGGCAGCTGGACAAGCCCCCAGCCGCAGGGCCCATCCCCGGGCTCGGCATGGGTGACAGGCCTTAAAATCACTATTTTATACAATTATTTTTTATAAAATAAAAGTGTGGCAGAAGAGACTGGTTTTACTGGTTACGTCTTCTCAGCCACCAAGACGGCGGGTGTGGCCGTGACCACCATCCTGGGTGACAGTCAGGAGTGCATTTCTGGCCCATAGTGCAGAAGGGGAGGCTGGGGCCGGGGCTGGGAAGAGACTGGCCCAGAGGGAGGCAGCCGAGCAGGGCAGGAGGGCCCTGTGCCCCTCACCTGCACCCTGAACAGGACGGGGGAGCAGGGACGGGGGCTCCTCTGCCCTCAGAACACACAGGTGGCTGGGCACAGGGTGACCCTACCGACCTGACTCTGGGCATTTCTGGATTTAATTGAGCTGAAATTCACGTACCATAAAATTAACCATTGTAAGGTGTAAAGTTCCACAGAATTCACCACACTGCGCTTCAAATGTGCCATCAATGACTTTTATCTTGTTCCAGAAGTTTCCACCACTCCCCAAGGAGACCCTGTCCCCTCAGCAGTCACTCCCTGCTCCTCCTCCCCCAGGCCTTGGTAATGGGCAATCTGCTCTCTGTCCCTGTGAATGTGCCTGTTTTGAACATTCCCTGTCAATGGGGTCACCGGCTCTGTGGCCTTTTCTGTCTGGCTTCTGTCACTCAGCATGTTTTTGAGGTTCACCCACTCGGCAGCACGGATCAGGGCTCTGCTCCTTTTTATGGCCAAATAATATTCCTTTGTCTGGACCACCACCTAGCGCTGAGCCATTCATTCGCCGGAGGACTGTGGGCATGTGCTGGACCGTTGCACACAGCTGCGCTGGGGACACCAAAGGATTTCTTTGACTATCCACTGAGCTCTCTGCGCTGTTGACATGGAGTTGTGTGTGACTCACGGGACAGCCAGCCCAAGAGAAAGAGGCGACTCACCCAGGGTCTCAGGATCTGGAGTAATGCAGCTGCCACTCAAACTGGCTTCCTGGGATCAAAGTCCTCGCCTCCGCCCCTCCCCGCAACCAGGTTCCCCAAGCTTCTGCGCAGGCTCCGCGCCAGATTTTGAGGCCCCGCCCCCGGCATCCTAGCCACGCCCAGATCTGGTAGCCGAGGCTGTGCCCAGAAGAGGCAAGGAAACGGGAGAGGGGACCGAAGGAGGTCAGATAACGGTCCGGAACACAGCTGGGTAGGAGCAGCTGGTGCCGGGGTTGGAACCCAGCGCTCCCCCCCGAGCTCCACCCACAGCTTATGACAACTTCTATTTTATAAAGAGTTAGAAAAGGGGAGTTGGAAGCTCCCAGCACAAAGAAATAAATGGTCAACGTTTAGGGGACAGAAATGGTCATTGCACATGGTACCCAAGTATTGAGTGGCCACACGGCACCCCCAAATATGTATACTTTTTAGGATATAAAATTAATTTTTTTTAGCTTTCGGTGGACACAACATCTGTGTTTGTATGTGGTGCCGAGGATCGAACCAGGGCCGCACAGCATGCCAGGCGAGCACGCTACCACTTGAGCCATACCCCCAGCCCTAAATTTTTGGTACGATAATTATTTTGGTACCGGGGATTGAACTCAGGTGCGCTTAACCACTGAGCCACATCCCCAGCTCTTTTTTGTATTTTTTTCAGAGACAGGGTCTCACTGATGGCTTATGGCCTCACTTTTGCTGAGGCTGGCTTTGAACTCATGAACCTCCTGCCTCAGCCTCCCCAGCCGCTGGGATTAGAGGCGTGAGCCACCATGCTTGGCTAAAAATACTTTAAATTAACTGGCAGCCCATGGTGGCCACTGGCAGGGTCAGGGGCTAGAGATAAGGACTGGTGGCCCAGGTACTGGACCCTGGGAGATGCAGGTGAGGGCTGTGTGTGACTTCAGGTAGGTGACATACCCCCAAGTCTTAGTTTCACCAACGGTGTCCCTGGGCTGTGTCTGCAGAGCCTCTGGCCTGATGTTGGCCCCCAATTTCTGTCTGCTCTTTGTCCTGGGGACCACCCAGCATCTGCCCTGGACAGCTGACCTGGCACCAAGCTCAGAACAGAAGGTACCTGGGGCCTGGCTGAGGGCACATGTTCCCACAGCTCGGTCCCTAAGCATCCACATTGGTAGTTTCAAGAGGAGATGAGCTGGGCGCGGTGGGACACACCTGTCACCCCAGCAGCTTGGGAAGCTGAGGCAGGAGGATCGTGAGTTCAAAGCCAGCCTCAGCAGTTGAGGGAGGCGCTAAGCAACTCAGTGAGACCCTGTCTCTAAGTAAAATACAAAATAGGGCTGGGGATGGGGCTCAGGGGTCAAGTGCCCTAGTTCAATCCCCGGTACCAAAAAGGGGGGACTCCCCGTCACCTGGGGTATACAAGACGCAAGACCTGTTTCCAGATCTATGTTCCCAAACTGAGAGTGGCCTCGGCATTTCTTCTAACATAGGATGTGCGTACAGTTCTACAAGACTCCCCTCTGGCAGGGCTGGGAGGACCAGACACCCGTGTCCTCAGGACTCCTGAGTCTGCAACTGTGGGGAACCCGATCCCTACAGGAGGACTTTCTGGGTCAGATAAATGACACAGGGTGGAGCCGGCTCAAACAGTCCCAATTCACTGACTTCCCTGAACACAGGGAGGGGCTTCTGGGGCCTAGAGGAACACAGTCAACTTAGTGTGAAGTGACCCAAAGACTCCCCTCCCCCCCACTCCTCCTGACTCCCCCACCTCTGCTGCTGAAACACCGGAGCTGATTCCCACCTCAGGGCCTTTGCATATGCTGTTTCCTCTGCTGAAATGCCCTTCCCTTGTGACTGGCTCCTGTTTACCTTTTCAGAGATGTCCAGCCTCCTGACAAGTTACCACCTGTCATCACCCTCTCTCCTCCCTTTGTTCTGATGTCTTCATGGTCCTCACTACACTCTGAAATCCCACTTAGATTTCACTTGTTTGAGACTTTGAGGGCTGAGTCAGGTCATGACTGTGTCCGCAGCCGCAGCCTCCAGCAGACAGGAGGAGGTTGTGGACTGACTAAAGGACTGGAAGACCCCTACTTTATGGAGGACAAGATTCAGATGGGGAGGGGGTGTCACCCCTTCTCACTTGCTCCCAGGATCCTTTGCACCAGGTACTTTGCTTGTGCAGAGACAGACTGCAGGTCCCTCTGCGTCCTTCACCGCCCCTGTGCCTGGGTCTCTGACGCCATCTCTCCCCAGTCTGTCTCTCTGTCTCTGTCTCTGTCTCCTCTGCCCCTTCCTCCACCCTCTCCTTGGCTTGGACTTGCCCAGAATTCTGCCTCTGTGTCCCTCTGTCTCTGTGTCCCTCTGTCTGTCTGTGTCTCTGTGTCACTCACTTTCATTTCTGTCTCTCCCGATCTGTCTCTTTTGGTCTCTGGTCCTCTCACCATCTCTGTCTCTAGCCGTGGCCCGGCCAGCCCTGGGGCATGGGGTGACAGGCAGGCACAGGGTGACAGGCAGGCACAGGGTGACAGGCCGGCACCGCGCCCAGCACTTGTTTTCCCGCCCGCACTGGCAGGGAGCCCGGCCGGGCTGCTGTTCAGGAATCCTGAGCCACCCGCCCGCCCCAGCCACCAGGCACAGCCGGCTGCCTTCCTCCCGGCACATTCTGTCCTGAGCGGGGAGCGCTGGGGGTGGGTGGGAGGGGGACGTGTTCCTGCTGGGCTCTGGTTACAGGACAGCTTGTCCTGGTGCCCCAAACCCCTGACCCGTCCCCTCCCAGCTCTGGGTTTAGACCTTCCTGAATAAGACCACTGCCTCCTGCTCACCTCTACCTCAGGACCTTTGCATTTGCTGCTCCAGCCACCTGCACTCCCTCTCCCTAGATGTGCCCAGAACCACCTCTTCGGGCACATCTCAGACCATGAGTGACCTGCCCAGAATGCCCTTCCTGTCCCTGGCCAGAGCACCCCTGGGTTCCCACTTCTGCCGTGGTGTATTTGCTTCCTGGTCTTTCCCTCTCCCTGGGGCTGTGTGCTTATTGGTTTGGTGTCTGCTGTGCCAGGGTCTCACTTGTCCCCAGTGCCCGACACACACACAGGTGCTTGGTCACTAATTTTACAATTGACATTGTTTCCTCCAGAGCTCAGCCCTGCCCAGGCCCCAGGTCGGCCTGTGGCTCCCAGCCAAGGGCTGAACTGAAAGTCCCCTCCCCTGCACCCCGTGCCCCAGGGGCCTCCGGGCCTCCGGTCCTCGCCTGGAAGGTTCGGGCTGCTACGTGCATCTTTTCCGCAAAGAGTAGGGTCCCTGTCCCAGGGCTGCGTGGGGGGGGGGGCAGCCGTGGTGCTTGGTGGGGGGTGGGCAGGGCACTGGGTCAGACCTGGAGCCACAGCCCTGGGGCCACATGGAGCGCAGGGCAGGTCCCCCAGCGAGGGAGGCACCGGTCCATCTGCCAGAGGCCCCCAGGGGCTGGCCCTTTCCACGCGGCCACTTCCCGGCCCCATCTTGCTTTGGATGTCCAGGAAAGTCCCCAGAAAGCACGAGGCCGGGCGCGGGGCCAGGAGGAAGCAGCCACTCAGTGGTGGCCCTCGGTGCCTGCCACAGGCGGATCTGGGCAGGAGGCGGGTCCATGCAGGGCTGGGAGGCAGCCAGGGAGGGACAGGCAGGGACCCCAGCCCTCAGAACAAGGGTCGGGGTCTCTGCCCTGTGCCTACCTTTTGGTGGCTTGGAGCCAGTCCCCAGTTAGAGCCTTTTGTCACCAACGACGTGGAGACGGGCGCAGGGGTGCTCACCTGACTTTGGGGACCGCCAATCTCTCTGGGTGTTTGGGGGCTCACCTGGAGTGATAAAGGCCATCTACCACAAGGACAGAACAGAGAGAGTCCTGGTGGGGAACAAAGAGGGACACAGACACTCTCAGCCCCCTGTGGAGTCGGGCAGAGCCAGAGAGGACTGGGCGGGGTCCTGGGACGGCAGAGGGGACACTGAGGCTGGGGCTTCCGAGGGGGGAAGAGGAGTCACCAGGAGCCGGGGCTGCAGCCTGGGAGGTGTTTGTCGCAGTGTTCGGTCACCTGCTCCTCCAGACCCCTGGGGACAGCCGGAGTCTGCTTGGTGTGGCCAGCAGTCCTTGAGTGTGA